AAAATGTCCGATGGATTTTGCTCAAATTTTCAGGGAACGTGTCAAATAGATGTATGATAAGGTACTGAAAGTTTGACGTCGCTGGCTTAACGCGTTTAGAAGTTATTGGCGAAAAACGGGAGGGGGCAGATTCTGCCCCCCCCCCAGCGGGGCGCGGGTTAACTACCACCACTGCACCCTCTCGGCGGGGAAGGGGGGGGGGTGATCAACCCCCCTCGCACGCCCACAGCCAGCATCATAAACAAGCACCAAGCATCACTATTCAACATGACCTATTAATGACACCATAGTGAAAGTGAAAGACTCGCCAAAAGTAGAATATTTGAGGGTCCACATTCTTACCGATATATCTGCTGATCAGTTATTAGCTTCCGGAACGAAAGGGCACTTTTAAAGAACATTATCCGGATATTCTGATATTGTTGTTAATAAACTGGAGTGCGAGACATTGCGCTCGTCCTGACATTCTTTAAAATACCTACATTATTTATTCAGACCGAAGCTCTGCCAATATCGCAGACAGATATTGATACTCGGCAATTGTAAGCTCACAAAGAAGGCCAATGATTGTAGCGAGCGTGATTGTCCTAGCAACAGAGAGGTAGCCTCAAAAGCTTTGGGAGCCTCAACACGGGCCAAATCTACCCGGATTTGCAGAAACCAGCAGTGGTCCCGAAACGGCAGGGTCATTTTAAAAACTCGCAGAACAATAACGCTGCAATTTTCAATGCCCAAGCGTAAGAAAGGGTAGGTACCTATAATCACGGTGTATGAAGAGTAGGTACGTGATGGCTATTATTATACCAAGTTGTCAAATCAAAACCATTGATGCCATAAATTGAAGTTACCATGTTAACCCGCGCGGGGCTGGGGGGGGGGGATAAATTTTACCCCCCCTCGCGAATTTTTGCGATATCTCAAAAACGGCCTTTTCTTACATCAATTTGACACGTTCCCTGAAAATTTGAGCGAAATCCGTCGGAAAATTTTTGAGAAATTGACGTTTTAGTGACGTCATGTTCGCCATTTTCGCCTCAAAAACGGCAAAAGTTCAAACGCCGCTAACATCTTCATTTTAAAAGGAATCAAGACGTAACAAAAAAGTTTATACGTAATTTTACTTTGTCTATCAAATGGCTATCTCGGTTTTTTGAAAATTTTGGATTTTGGCCTAATTTTTTTCAAAAAACTGACTTTTTTGGGAAAATCATTATAAAATCCAAAATTTTGAGTCTATCTAAAAGACCGGAATATATGTCAGAGAAGTGGTCTATGTGCACCTACATACCAAATTTTAGAAGAATCGGTTCAAAAATGTGGGAGTTATTCAAAATTTTATGACGTCACGACACACAATTTTTTTGAAAAAATGACTTTTTTGGAAGTTCTAGACCTCGTACGGAAACAAAAATAGCACCATTCGATTCGCCGTGAAAAACTGCATCAGATAGCCACCTTTTTAGGCCTTAACAACCAACTTCAAAATTTGACCTCACTTGACCTGACCTTGACCTGACCTCGACCTGAAATTCATCCAGAGGTGGTCCATATCACTTATTGAGTGTGCCTATTGAATTCTATGAGTAAAATGACCCATAAAACATGTGTCGCACATGCCCTTTTCTATATTTTGTTTTTTGGTGACCTGACCTGACCTGACCTGACCTTGACCTTGACCTCTGAATGATATTGTATGCAACGAATATTGTCTTGGTAGCCTAAGAACACGTTTTGGGCGATCAGTCTCAGTCCATGACTCCATTCTTCGGCAACTACGGTGCAAGGCCGATACTGTAGAAACTTGCAATTTGTACCCTTGACCTGACCTTGACCTTGACCTCAAACTTTAAATTAAGTACATGTTTTTAGTAGTTCGTGATGAGAGCTTTCAATTGGCGTTTGAATTTTCCAAATCGGACCATTAGTTCGGGAGATAACAGGGGGGGGGGTAAAATTTACCCCCCCCAGCCCCGCGCGTTCGGCTGGAGACCCCAGCCCCGCGCGGGTTAACTGTCATGACATGCGAGACATTAAACCCGAACGTGATATACCTTAGTGGATTAGACTGCTAATGACAGAATCGTCCATGATGATCCTGATCAATTATCAATCGCAAAACCACTTAGAAAACATTGCTACGGACCAATATAAAAGATACACAGTTGTTACAAGAGCGTGCTTTAATTCATTATATGACGACTGGCCAAAGGAGTGATCAACTCCTCCTCAACGCATCAAAAGATTCCACCGTGACTCAAATGCCTTCATCGAACGACCATCTGCCAATGGACAATACGAACCAGAGACGTAGCTGACATTTGGCGTCTCCAGCCACAAGAATACTACGAAAATTAGTGGCCCCACGGCGCCACTGTTTCTTGCTTCCAAATCCCTGCTTTGCTCCGGATGCACATATCAATTAACATTTTCAGTAGATAACGGGAACGCACTGGTCGTCTACGCCTAGATCGATGCGGCTCGGATCCGATCCTTCGAGGTCATCCGAGAACTTTCCTTACCCAAAAAATCAGCTAATGACAGAAAAGTAGAGACTATCTGTAGGTATCCAATCGCAGCAAAAAGAGTTATAAGGAAAGCAGGTATCCGCGATTATAAGTGTTCCCTAAACAAAATTGGTACCCCGATGAACGTACAAGTCAGAGCGATTGGCGAATCTCCTCCCAAATATTCCGACAATATACCCTGTTGTCGTGCTGTCCATTCAGGCTTCACCACTCCTCGTTCATCGCCTCCGAGGGGCGGCAGCCGGCCCAGCCTACTCTGGGGGCTCTAGGGAGCAACAGCGAACTCAGCTCGGTTGTCATAGCAATATCTCCATCCAATCCTCAAACGCTCAGAGGAACAAAGCACGGCGCTCTTTGAACTCGCAACTCAGCACAGAGCTCGCTAAATTATGGTGTCACGGCGCGGCAGAAAGCAATCCGTGCACGCCCAAAGTTCTTGAACTAATTCGGGCGCATTATTCACACAAGTCGATTCAAGATCAAGATAGCACCTCAATGATAGACTTAGGCGGTTGGCGACAGTTAGATACGAAATTACAACGACCTAAACCAAGGTCAAAATCCTATATCGATTACCAGAACGGTAATTCCGCTAGTCAGAAGAAGACATTACACACCAGATACAATTTAGAACGTAACAGTGTATTTCGTTTGCGCTTGGTCGCCCCTCTATGTCACTTCGAATGATTTAAGACCAGTAAGTAAAACGCGTTTTGGTCGAACAACAAGCGAGGGTAATGGTTGGACCGCCAAGTAGGGCAGGCCTTAGGATAATTTGACCCCCAAAATTTTGCGACTGTGTCCTAGCCACCACTTGTACCTACTACGCCAATGTTTGTCAAACTTTGTAGGCTTCATACAGGTTCCAACAAACTGTATGTATACCAAGGATTTCTATGCTTACCTATAGGTTACATGTGACCTACGAGGTAAGCCACGAGGGAATCTGAATCATGAACTAACCGTAAGATAAGTAAAGGAAATGTGAAAACAAATTTATCTTACAGTTTTGGGCAAACGTGCCGATACGTGCCGATACCACGGCAGATATTTTCAGAACCATTGCATCTTTTCTCATGCATAGGCAATAACTAAAGCGCAGCTGATCACCAGGTAGGGCAGTCACACGGGTCAGCTGAGGTCATGTGAGGTCATCAGCCGTGATTACGTTTACCAAAAACCCTCAATAAAATCTGTCGCCACGGATGGTCTCCATGTGTTTGTCTCGCCGAGACCCATCGACTCATATGCAAGAAGGCATGGTTGCGACAGTTCCCAGCAAGAACATCCTAAGTGTTATTTTTTTCGAAATTGAGATTTTTATACCATTCGACTCAGCTCGACGAGCTGAGTCGAATGGCATAAAAAACTCAATTTCGAAAAAAAATGACACTTAGGATGTCCTTGCTGGGAACTGTCGATTGGATCATAACGCGATCTTACACCAATTTCATAACATTGTCAGGTTTACTCACGATATTGTGTAGGTACACACCTCTTCCGCCGAACTAGGCTCTGGAACGGAAAGACAAAAACTTTTATACCTATGTCTGTAATTAGTCCGCATCTTGGCTAGGGGGAGGGGGGGGGGGCGTGAACACGATGCCAGTTAGATCGTTGACGTTGTCGTTCAAGTTTTTGTCAGTTATTGCATTAAGTCGTTTCCTAGTTCCCATGAAACGTCCTTTTCACGACTTGTTTTCTGGAGGCATCAAATTTGACAAGGACAAGGTCAAATCTGAGGACACGCAAGCGACTGTGTTGAAGAGCTATTAGGTAAATACAATTTCCGTAAAATGATCTGGATCTTAGTTTAGGAGTTATGGCCTATGATCAAATGTCTCCAAGAATATTAAAATCACTAGTTTGACTTGGATGAGTTCTGGTGACCTAACATTTGACCTGACATAAGCATTGCTTTGAATTCTGTCGTGCCTTTTAGACGCTTAATTGAATGTCGTTTACTGCGTATCGCTACGTGACCCAGGAGCCCAGTTAGAAGAGGCCTGAAAACGCCCTTCCCCGCTGCTCCATATGAACGACTGGACCATGGCAGTTCAGTTCAGTTCACAAGCTGAACTGAACTGAACTGAACCACCGTCCTAGCGCGATTTAACATATGAATGAGATTCCAGACTAGATCTCCAGCGCCGAAATCGAGTGTAAGTGAGTGGATTTATCGTGGGCACACGCACTGAGGCGGTCTCATGTCAATTATCAATGGGCTGATGTTAATTTCACCGCATCCCCGCGCTGAACCTCACTAGGTGGCCGCAGCGGCAGTTTCCCATACCCACAGGTGGCGCTATGTGGCACCGGGAGCTGAGCTGGAGAGCAGCTCCATCTAGGTTACAGGAACTATATCAGTCGACAGTCTCCTAGTCACTGCGATACTAATTCCATGGCATGTTTGTTTATGAGACTAAGGTCCACAATCATCTAAATTGTACACCATACACCACTTACACAAAAAGCTAGCGTGTCTTCCTTTATTTGCGCGTTAGCCATCAGTTATACCATATGCTTGCACACTCCGTAGAATGCTCACGGACATTTAACGGAACAGTGAATAAATGCCCAAAGCAAGCAAATACCAGATACTGTTTACGACTCATAATACGTATGACAAGTGTTTACAATATTCCACAGCCCACCCGCTAAACAATAATCAGTACCGTAAGGTGGGGCTATTTGAGACAGTGGGGCTATTTGAGACAGTATTTAGAATTGTTATAAAATAAAAACCGTTTGAAATTGATGCTTAATTTTTGCTCAGGCGATTTACCGCTCGATTCCACACCTTCCTGAGCAAAAATATCACATAAAATTCAAACGCTCTTCATTTTACAGCCATTTTAAAAACTGTCTCAAATAGCCCCACTTTACGGTAATAATGTAAAATACGACGAAGCCCCACAGAAATAAGGCATAATACACTGCGTGAGATAATGATATCACAACAACCTCACTCCTTTTGGAAGAAGAGCACTGGTAATATATGAAAGCACGCCCCAATAGCATACAATATATGAAAACCAAAGTATCGATCCCTGTCAAATAAACACTGCTGAGTAATGCTAAATTCATACACCAGCAAACCGCCATAGTCACCAACCAGCCTTGCCGTGGGGCCACTCTGTTCACTGTACGAACTGGTCACTGATCACTGCGTGATTCACCGGGTACTGCGTGAGTGCCTGTAGCTAGACACTCAGTTATTCAGACGGCACAGCCCAAGTGACGGCGAGGTCACTCCAGCACAGTCCTTATGACGACGGGCCACTCAGACAGTCACTCCAGTCCATGTGAGTGACGGTGAGGTCACTCAGACAGCACAGCCCACGTGCACCGGCTCACTCAGACCGCACAGCCCACGTAGCGCCGGTACTCGGTCAGGCACTGCTCCGGAACGGCCGGCGGCTGGCAGCTGACTGCCCTCTGGTACACCTCGCGGGCGGCGCGGCTGGTCATCGGCGCGGCCACCTCCCTGCTCGAGTCCATCTTCAGCTGGGAGAGCTGCAGGAACCGCACCGGCCGCTGAGAGGTGGCCCGCAGCGCCTCGGGCCGGGGCAGCGGTCCGCGGCAGCCGAGCCGGCCCAGACCTGCGTGGCGCCGGTACACGCTGAGGTCCTGTTTCTGCGGCGGTCTCTGCTCGATGCCGTACTGGTCCCGTGCGGTGCTCAGCAGGGTGGCCAGGGTGAGCGGCGGCCGGGGCGGCGGTACGGCCGGCGCCGCGCCCGCCGCGGCCACCACCGGGCTGTCCTCGGACGAGTCCGAGCCCTCCGACAGACTCGAGTCGCCGTTGGCCTGCGCGGAGGACGGCGGCGTCTTGGCGGCGCCCTCGGGAGCCAGCGGCTGGCGCCGGGTGCGCACCGCAAACGGCGACTCGTCCACGAACATAGACGGCATGTAGTCCTTCACCGAGTGGATGACGTTGAAGTCGAAGCTCTCCGGGAAGCTGGTGAGCTCGTGCGGCCGGTATTGCTCGCGGTAGAGGTCGGTGCGCCCGTCGCCGGCCGCCACGCGCACCACGCTGCTGCAGCGCTTGTCGCGCTCGATGGCGGCGGCGGGCAGGTGGCGCATGACGCGGTCGTCCCACCACTGGGTGGGCCGGCAGCGGCCGGGCCGCCGGTCGGCCGGGTCATGGTGCAGCTGGTAGTCGTTGGGTAGCTCCCAGAGCGCCGGCCGGCCCGGCCGCGGCACGAAGCAGCCCAGGAACAGGTTGATGGCGTTCTGTTTGTCGGCGTCGGTGACGGTGTTGCTGTAGTAGCGCTGCATGGTCTGCACGATGTCGTTACCCTGGCTGCCCCAGTTGGCCGTCTTGCGGTAGGTGCGAATCCGGTGCACGAGCTGGGAGCCGCCGTACTGGAGAGCCAGCAGGTCGCCGTGATCCTCGAACATATCCTCCAGGATCGACATGCAGTCCGTGTCGAACTCCAGCCGCGGAGACGGGATGGCACCCAGCGCGAATAGCTGGGCCGCCAGCGCCGCCTTGCCGATGGTGAACTGGGCCGTGTTGGTGCGGTCCAGACAGTCCACACAGTTTACCCGCACAATGCCGTGCTGCTGGAGGCCGACCCCGGGCGCGTCTCCCTGTGCCACCGGTGACGTGTGCCGGTAGCTGGTGTTGAGCGGCGGCTGCGACAGGAAGATGCCCGTCTCCTTCAGCGAGGCGTTGGCGATCTCAGTCAGTCGCTCCATGACACTCTCCCTCTCGAGTTTGTTGGCACGCGCCATGTCGAAGCTGATGTACCGCAGACGGAACGCCGGTGGTATAAACTGGTTCAGGTAGGCCACCGAGCGACTGAAGGCGCCATGCAGCAGAGACTCGTGCGAGCGCTTCTCCCTCTTCTTCACCAGATTGACGACGAAGACGGGCGCTCCGTAGCGCGCCAGCAGGTCGTTCATGTGTTTTCCGGCGGTGATGTGGCAGGGGTCGGACAGCTCCATCTGAATGGGAGGCTTCGGAATCCGACTGGTGTCCTGGTACCAGTGGCACGGCACCGAGCCGCGGATCTGCACGTGCGAGCTGAACATGCCGTGCTGCAGCGACGACACACAGGCGTCGTGTACGATCTGCTCCGTCTCCACCTCGTTGGCCACGTCGCCCTTGAAGCTGGCGCCGCGCTTCAGGAACCGAGTCCCCGCGTAGCGGCTGGAGCGGCGCGCCATCAGCGTCAGGAACAGGTGCCGGCCGTGCAGGTACAGGGTCGCCTGCTTGATGTAGCCGTGTGTGATGTAGATGCGCCACTCCCAGCCCATCTGGTGTTCGGCCGGCTCCAGCAGGTGGTTGTTCCACACGAAGCGGCGCTGCGGCTCTGCGCGCACGCCGACTGTCGGCGGCCGGGCGCCGGTCCTGTCCGCGCCCGCCACCAGGCTGCTCGGCGGCGCTGCGCTCACCTCGTAGTCAAAGTCGGTCTCCTCCAGGGGACCCTTGGTGGACGTGTGGACGAAGTCGGCGCCGAACACGGCGTTGATGTCCTCCGGACTGAGGCGCGGAGTGGCAGCGTTGTACTGTAGCGTGTGCGTCAGGTCGTAGCTGTAGCTGAAGTAGAAGTTGCTGCCCATGGCGACGCTCTGGAAGAGTTTGACGTAGCGCTGCTCTTCAGGACTGAGCCGTTTGCTCTGGTTCGGAATGTAGATCATCTTGGTGTCCTCAATCTTGTAGATGACGTGGGGTCCGATGACGGCCAGTCGGCGCCGCTGCGTCACCACGATGATGTAGTAGCCCTCGGTGAAGCGGACGAAGCCGACGATGCCGAACGCCGAGAGGCGCCTGACGAGGCCCTGAGCGTGCGCGCCGCCCGCGCGCAGTCGGTTGCCCTCGTCCAGGCTGCGCATAATGTCCCTGATCTCCGAGGCCGAGTACTCGAGGGCGTCGTCGACAATGTGCAGCTCTCGCGGCTCGGTGCGGTCCACCTTCAGCACGCGGAACCGGTCCTGCTCGGTGTTGGAGCCGATCACGAAGAACCGTGCCTTTGTTTCATATATACCGACTTTCTGTATGGGCGAAACGAGTGTTGCTACTTTGATGCTCTTCTTTTCATTCTCCGGTGGCTTGCTCGCTTTTCTTTCCTCCATTTTTCCTTCAAATAAACAAATTTTTGTCAAGCTTACCTCAATATTATTAGTTGATGATAATCAAATAGTTTAGTTCCACAAACAATCCATACAAATACCAACGCTGTAGGACGACTTTACCGTAAACGGTGTGTGTATCGTGCTCTTCAAACGTGACATATTTTACGGCGTGCACTACCGCGCACCAGTGGATATAATTTTGACTCACTCTGTTTATTCAGACTGAAATGGTAATCTCATGGTACCTAACATGAGTGGAAAATATATGCACATCCAACACTGGGCCTGAGGTAAGTGTATTGTTACAGGGAAATGCTGTCACTCAAAAGATGTGATGCAGCACAGCCAACCATTCCAGGAACCAAACAGATTATAATCTGTTTGGTACCTATAGGTACCTACCTATAATAAATAGACCATTCTGTAGTCAACTGTACCTTCCTAGGTAACTAGTAACTACTGTACTACTCTATCTATCTAATGGCTTATGCAAGGAAAATATAATTCAGCTACTCTTCCTGTCAACTATGCATGCCTGCTTTGATAATCAAGCATGTTAAAAAGTGACCAAATAAAAATGAACAAATTGAAAAATATTCATACCATAGGGCATCCATTCCCACTTATTAGTGTGATATCTGGCTGCACACAATTTACCAAGCTTGTGCGGCTAATGTCTTATGGTTACATAAATACCTTGACCTACTCCCAAATCTGGATTAAGGATGAGGCTTTGGACATTTAGTAAAGAATAACTGATATACAAAACTGAAAATAAAATTTGTGTGCCAAGAGGACCATATCCTAAACTGTCCTTACCATTCCATTGATGTTCTAGCATGTCAGAAGGCTGAATGCAGTGGAAGCCCTCCATTAATAATTTTTTGGCAACAGGGCATGAATGATGATGACTAGGATCAGGCCCTGGCCTGTATTATGCATGACTTGAGGAATCTGGCAGATGACAAGTGTCACATTTTAGCTTGTTCATTTTGATTTTAATTGCTAGGCTGCCTAACCAGCTTAAAACATTGATGGCCAGCAGATTCATGTTCAGTAGGGGTACCCATTTTTCCCGATTTCGGAAATTTGTGGGTGGGGGTGGTTTTTCCCATTATTTCGCGGCTTGTGATTTCAATGATGCCAAAAATATTAAAATCAAAGGTGGTTTAGGGGTCGCGAATTGAGATTGAAATTTGCGTATTTACCTAGAAATATGCCTATTTGACGCTGATAATAAATCGCACTAAAGGCAAAGTTTTTGTTTTGAAAGTCGGGTAGAGGGGTCATTGAGCGCTCATTTCCTCATCCAGATCGATGTGCTCCATCACGTGGTTCCGGTTAAATGCTTTACTAGCGATCATTACGATGTCGATATTGTAACATTTGGTGAAAAGCGCCGGGAATCCCGGCGACCAACAACAGGAGCAAAACATCCCGGCCCGGGATGTTTTGCCCCTGTTCTTGGTATCATTCTGGTCAGCGTGTAATCATTTTTGAAATTTTCTGCCTCTTGAAGGTCATGAGTTGTAATGGTGACCTTTGATGACCTGTGAGGTCAAATTAAGATGTGACCTTTCAGTTGCCACGTCTCTGTTCATGACAGGCTATTTGTGTCCATACAATTAAAGTTTGTGCAAATGAGCTCAGGATACATCTCACAGATCATGGCTTCGAATGGATTTCAAATCATGTAATTAAAAAACGATCGAACCATTTTGACCGTATGCTTCCACAAGAAACTCCGACCTGATCGCTCACGGCTACGATGTAATACACCTATGAGACAGGGTAGGATAAATCTGGGTGTTCTACCCAAAAATATCAACTTCTAATCCGAAAACAAACTCGAAAGCGGCGATTCTTTCCATGCCCACCAATCATATACTATTCCATTTCTTCAGTGGGGACAGATACACACCGTTCTTGTGTAAGAGTTTCCGATACAACTGCAGATCATTTACGAGTTCATATTCGACCACAGGCGACTAGCCATGCGCTGATACGTGCAAGGTTGATATGTGACGAAGACCTTTCACAGCTTCTTGCACAGATCACTTGTGATCTCAGGTACCTAGTTGGCGTCTGAGTTTGAAGAAACTAATGTAGCAGGAGATTTTCATCCTGCATGGGCCGTATGGTGGTACCAGGACGCATCATATGAGGGAGTGTGCGTGCAGAGACTGAAGACGAGGAGAACCAGGTCCGCCACCTAAGGTCCATGGCCCACCCACTGTGTCGGCCCCCAGGCAATGCCAGGAGTCAGTAAACGGTTCTACCTCGGAGTTGGCTGAGCCGTCTAGACTTTGGCACCTTCCTAATTTCCAGCTTTAGGCAATGACATCTTCATCTTCATCTTCATCTTCGTTTTGCTTCTGTATATCTATACCGAGATAAAAACAGCACTAAGCTATGCCGGTATGCATGAATGATGACCTTTGCCAATTTGCTAGCCGACCTCCCCGAGTCCCGGAGTTGCAGAGACGGTTGACGGATGAGGGAGACGGATGGCATTCGTCGACTTCAGTTCAACATCAGCTGAGGGTTTGGACTGAGCCTATAGAGTGCAGTGTAAGGTCCGTTATCGTGAAAGGATACTGCTGGCAGCGGCCGTCACCAGGCACTGGTTCCATGACATGCTATCTGCACCCGTCTCAAGTCATCAGCTGGTATAGAAGTGACACATGCCCAGAATTGGAGTCACGAGCAGTCGTGCACGCGTTCGGCCAGGCCAGTGCTGTCCGTCATAAGCAAAATTGCAAACATATTTCTTTCATAATGGGGCGAGGATGGAGTTTCGGTGTTACTGTCCTGTGATGTTCTTGGCCAGCTTCCTTTCCATATGCTCAAACGCACATGCTGTGTGCGGGTTTGGGTGTTTGTGGGGGAGGGGCAAAGCTAAACTCATACAGCAGCCACCCGACGGTGGTGTAAAGCTTGCGCCCCTCCCTCATCCGTCTCTGCAACTCCGGGACTCGGGGAGGTCGGCTAGCGAATTGGCAAAGGTTATCATTCATGCATACCGGCATAGCTTAGTGCTGTTTTTATCTCGGTATAGATATACAGAAGCAATTGATAACTTCTTTATCTACTTCATGCCATATTTCCGTTAAAATACGGCATGCGAGTTATATGGTTATACCGTAACGGTTTTTAATGCCCCTTCCACCCAAATTGTATCGATAGGTCAATGTTCATGTCCTGAGGATTGCTCATTTCCTTTGCTGAATGAGACGACTCATTGAAAATTAGGTGGTTCCAATGAGAAAGCCTCGATCGCTGATTTTAGCCCCCTGACTACATAGCCATTCGTTCTAAGAGTTGCGGTCTTGTGTAGGTGCTAATGACGGTCTAAGCCAGAGTGAGTGTAAATGAGCATATGCTGTTCATTGACCAAAATGATATTTTTGGTGCTCTCTTTTACCGCTGCACGTCGAATATACCTACAGGCTACAACTAAAGCAATGTTGCACGGTGTCTAACAGCCATTAATACCACTGGAACACGTTGGCTTTGCATATTTATAGTCGTTCAAATGAAGTCATTTTTCCACTAAAATTAAAACTCCAATGCAAGCTTGCGACCCATAAAAGTGATCTAATATCGTTACTTCTGTCACTGCTATAGATCCAGAACAGAGCAAATAATGATAGAATCGACCCCGACCTGTTGGCATGGTAACCTTGTCCCAACATAAAATAATGGTAATTTGGTCGATTTTCTGCTAAAATTGACATGTTCATTTTGAATTCGTGACCCCCCAAAATCGTTTGCCTTCGTTATTTTTGGCACAGATGGAATCAGAATAGACCAAATAATGGGAAAATTGACCCCAACTTGTTGGCATGGTAACCTTGTTCCAAAATTAAATAGTATTAATTTGGCCGATTTTTCGCTAAAATTGGCATTTTCAATTTGAATTCGCGACCCCTAGAAATGGTTTGATTTCGGTATTTTTGGCACAGATGGAATCAGAATAGACCAAATAATGGGAAAATCAACCCCCACCTAAAATTTGAAAAATTGACCCAAAAATGGGTACCCCTAATGTTCAGCTTCACACCCTGTTGCTCACTAGCAGATCCAGGTGACATTTGCCCAAATGCCCCATGTAACATTTGAATTGATTAAAATTAAAGTTTTGAAGAATAAAAAGAAAACTTAACTTTTAATAAGAAATTTTTGTTAAAAACTGCACATAGTGTATGAGGAATCAAAGTCCAAGTAGGTTAAATGAATTTGAAGATTTTTTGGGTACCTATGCCCCCAGAGAGTGATATGATGGCTTTACAGTATATAGAGAACTTCCCAGAACTGGATGGATCTGAATGGCCTTTCTGTTCAGATTCTGCCAGGCCCAAGCTGCAAAGCGGGGCATGTGCATGCCCAAGGTGTGCCCAGCTTGATGGGAGTGAACGCCTGGCAAGTAGGCTGTAGTGTAGGAGTGCACACCTGTCACCTGTGTCCACAATTTGCACGCCTGGCACGCAGCATTTCAAATTCAAGATTACACGCCCCACAGTCCACACTGCACATGCCACACAACATTGCTGCTATGATGAGCTACCTTCCATCATTCACACTGCTGTCATTTGATAATGGTACCTACTTTAAATTCTACTTTTACAACTTCCTTCAGAAATACTCGACAAGCACTGACGATCATAACATGTTAACAGCATGAAAATTAGTTACCATCGAATTATTACGTAACTTTACTTACCTTGGCTTTCAAAAGAAGTCGACAAACTCGTCAACTCGTCTGGAACTGGATTGCAATTGGGATCGTCGGGCTGTCTCAGTCTCAGTCTAAATCCGCCACGCAACCTCTTCGATGTGAACTGTTAACACTGTGAGGTGACTGTGAGGATCAAAGAGCGATCGACCGCGATCGACAAGATGCTCTGCGCTTCCGCTTGACGGCGCACGTGATGTGACACGATTTGGATTTGGGATTTGATTGGATTTGATTGGATTTGTCGCCCCAGGATTTGTCTGCTGCGCAAGTCCAAGCTTAAAACGATGCAATATAATAAAACGACCATTTTGTTGGCATTGGTTGCCCTTTTTTACTTTTACAAAATGTCTTTAAAACAAATCCATATTGAAATCAACAAATTTGTTAGGAAGATTACTTCACAAAATGATAATAAGCTAACATTTTATTTCGAAAGAGCATGTGAGCTTCATTCTTCAGAGCACATTACTTAGCAGTGTTTTAACAAATTGCGCCGTTTTAGACTCTTCCGCGCCAGAAATTATCGGCACCTTGATCTGGCGACGGGAAGTTTATTTGAATGGATTTTATATTTTGAAATCTTCCACGTGGTTTAGAAAGATTTTACCGATTTTACTGCAGCTTTAAATCAAAGGTAGGCACTGATTTTTCACTATGTCAGCGTCTAAAAATTTTGATCTTGACGATATGCACTTGTGACTACATGGCTAATGGCTGTCAAATGAAATGGCTGGAAGAGCGTCCCACCCAGTCTAGCTGCTAGCACCCTGGAACGCTCTGTCTGGTTGATATAGCATTGATCGGTAGATGTTCTAATGTTATATTAAAGTGGCTTAATTTTGCCAGAAATAGGCACTTATTTCCGGCCCATACCACGCTGAAATTTCAGCGCAAAATTGCTTGCGCCGAATTTTGGCGCAAGAAATTCGGCGCAAGAGGGCCTCACAGTCACAGGCGTCCAGCGTAGTGTATGGATGTTTTCCAGTCTGGATGGTCCATTGACATGTCTGGCGTAACAGTTTGATTGTGCCGTAATTCTGGCTCAGCATCCAGCGTAACTCAGCGCACCAAGCTATCTGCACAAGAATTTTTTATAAATTTAGCTCAAATATTTGAATGGACAGATTGACAGAGCCGTAGCCCACGCTAAGCAGAGCTTGTTGCATAGGCCTCGACCCCCACCATCCAGGGCATATTTTAAGGATTTTTCACTGCGTCCCAAAGGTGGCATAGGGCACACGCTTTGATCGGAAAGGGCACATTGCAAGCGAAATAGTATATAATGCAAGTGAGATAATGTACATACAGATACATTGTGTAGTGTGCTGGTGGAGGGGCACTGCAAGCGGGATATTGGGAGCGGGCTGTGATTGCTTTTGGCCAGTCTCGAAATTCGCCCAGTCGTAGTGCGTTCTTTATCCGCATTCAAAGGGCGGACCGGCGATTTAATGACATTTACATTGTTGTTAGTCACTCGTTTTCCTGAACGGCGTTGGGCGTGTTTGACCTCCCTTGACGCACCAAATTGTACCTATGCTTAGAGAATAAAAATGAATATGCACATGATTAAAATGTGATACATACCTACGTCTCTTCATGCGTTTTTCACCCTTATCAATCGATTCAAAATAGAAGTTGACGTGTGAAACATTGCCAATTTGCATTGAAGATACTATGTGTTTGAAAAAATTAGATGACGTAAGGTCAAACAGTTTACAGTACCCAAGTTGTGACAAGAAATCATCGGATTTTAAAGCTACATAAAAAATCCATCATAGATTAATGCTTTGGATGAACGGATGCTTTGGATGCTTCGGATTTCGCTTCCTTACTGCCTATCACGTAATATAACCCAAACTTTTCCCAATGGAAGTTCCTTTGTTTAATTATTATGCCCAGAAATGTGTCGATTTTGTGCCATTTCCGGGCGCTTTGGGGGGGGGGGGGAGCATGGCCCCGTGGCCCCCTCTATATCCTCCTATGGCCAGACGGCCATGACGGCCCTGATCTGACCGTATGCCATCAAATGTCAAACTTCGCAATGATGCGATATTTTTTTTCGGAAAACGTGCCGGTGTCTCAAAAACTATGATAGCTAGGAGGGCGCAATCGATAGGAGAAAAGCAATCGATATATCTTGAACAGCTCTTTCGTCAATATTTCGTCAGAATTGAGTTCAGATCAACGGTTAAGGCTCCATAGCCAAAAACGGGTAAAATTACAATTTTTGTCAATATAGGTTTCATGAAAAGCTTTTAAACTAAAAAAAGGTAGAGAATTTTCGTTTGCACGATCGTTCTTCTCTCATTTTTACCTCGAAATGTCAAGGTCAGAACTTGACCTCACATTAAGGTCATTTCGTGACCAAGATAGATCATGTCGCATATCAGTCGATGCGTTTCGATGAGGTACCTCAAAACAATGATACAATCCACTGTGCATGCAAAAGCCCTGTAGGGCCGGATTTTGGGCCAGACTCCGGGCCTGCGGGCTCCAACTTGACATCTCTAAACAGGACTTTAGGGAAGGGCAGGACACAGAGTCTGAGCCCTAAGGACAGGGCAGGCTCAGGCCATGAAGCTAAGATAAGACGGATACTTGAGGGCTGGGTAGGATGCAGGGTCCGAGGGCAAGGCAAGGCGCGGGTCTGAGGCTATCATTACACAAGGCCGGAGAGCAGTGTAAGACACAGGGCCTTAGAACACCTGATGATCAACACACCTGGTGGCAGGGCAACACGCAGGATCTCAGAGCAGGGCAAGAAATAGTACCTAAAGCCAAGGTAGAGCAAGACATAAGACACAGGTATGGCACAAGGCCCGAAACACCGCCCACGTCTTGTCATACCTTCGGGCCCCGAAGGTATGACAAGACGTGGGCGGTGTTTCACGGACGCTGCTATCAAATTCCGCGAGCTGACGTCATACTTGTGGTAGTGTTTGAGCAATGGGCCTGTTGATGTCTCCATGGAAACCCAATTTGACACGTGTAATAGCAGCGTGCTGCTATCACCGGTGAAACAGGGCCAGGGTATGGGGCCTGAGGGCAGTGCAAGGCTCAGGGCATGAAGGCAGAACAAAGCACGGGTTCTGAGGACAGGTAAGGGCACGGGGCATGAGGACGGGAAACGGCACGGGACCTGAGGGCGGGAGACACCACAGGGCCTGATGACAGGGCAGGGCACAGCGCCTGAGAGCGGGCATGGGACACGAGACCTTAGGGCAATGCAGAATACAGGGCTTGAGGGCAGAGTAGGAGACAGGGTCTCATGGCATGGGACGGCACAAGGCCTGACGACAGGGCAGAGCACAGCAACTTAGGGCGAGGCAGGGCACGGGCCTGAGGGCGATATAACGCATAAGGCTTAATGGCAGAATAGGGCACAGGGTCTAAGGGCAGGGCAATGCACATGAGGCCTGGAAGCAGAACATGACAGGACAGGGCCTGAGGCAGGGCAAGGCATTAGGCTCGAGGATGGGCGCGGGGCCGGGGCATGAGGACATGGGAAGGCACAAGGCCTGATGGCAGGGCAGGGCACAGTACCTGAAGACAAGGCAGCGGCACGGGGTCTGATGGCAGGACGTGTCACAAGGCTTGAGGGCAGAGAAGGGCAGGGGCCCCAAACTAGGGTAGGGCAGGGCACGGGGCCAAAAGACGGGAAGGCAGCGCATCAAATTTCCAGGCAGAATATATAAAGTATCGTGTTTGAGGGCAGGGCAGAGCGGGGCACAGGGCCTGAATGCAGAGCAGGGCACAGGGCCTGAAGAAAGGACAGGGCAAGGTACAAGACCTAAGGACAGGGCACTGGGCAGGGCACATATCTTAGGGGTATAGTAGGGAAGAACATAATAAGGTGTATGACCAAGGGTAGGGCAGGGCACAAGGACTGGAGAGGGCATGTATGTGCTTAGGTACATAGTAAATCAGGGCACAAAGCAATCGGAAAGCCAACATCTTTTACACAGTAAAAGACCGAGGCATATTACTTATTTTTGCTCGCACTTTTCGGCTGAAACCGTGGCATTTCAGTGTGGGACGCAGTGGTCCAAATTTCGCGAGGGCTACGTCCCAAAGGCAGGGGGCTGCGTCCCAAAATGGGACGCAGTCAGTATGTTAAAATATGCCCTGCCACCATCTGATCGCGCAATTCCGGGTAATGGGAGAATTTAGATGCCAAAGTTAACCCACTAATGCCGGAATTTTTATTTTTTGATTATTTAGTTGTCCTTAACAAATGTTAGCCACACGGGTCCCAGTAAGAAAACTGCAAGCTTAAAAAAATTGTTCCATCGGTTCTCAAGTTATAAGTATGGGTCATAAATGACTCAACCGGCATTGGCATAGTCACAAATAAGGAGTTATCACGAAAACCGATTTAGCTAGATACCTTATTGTGTATGCTGTATAGCGGTCTCAGCCAAACAATATTAAGAGGCACTGCATTGCAATGCTTTGCAACGTCTCATTGACGAGGCCGTTGGTGCCGCTGGCAGGCCTGTGGTGCCCCTGTTAGGCCTCTGGTGCTCCAGAGGGGACACCATAGGCCTGACGGGCCTGTGGTGTCCCTGGAAGGACTGTGGTGCCCCTGGGCCCTGACAAGCCTGAGGTGCCCCTGACAGACTTGTGGAGCCCCTGACAGGTCTGTGGTGCCATTGCTAGGTTTGTGGTGCCCCTGGCAGGCCTGTGGTGCCCCTGGCGGGCCTGTGGTGCTCCTGCTATGCCGCTGGTGCCCCTGGGTCCTGACAGGACTGTGGTGCCCCTGACAAGCCTGAAGTGCTCCCGACAGGCCCGTGGAGCCCTTTACAAGCCCAAGGTGCACGTGCGAGGCTGGAGGTGCCCCTGTGAGGTCGATGGTGCCCCTGGCAGGCCTCTGGCTGGTGCCCCTGGCAGGTCTGTGGTGCCCCCTGACAAACTTGTGGTGCTCTTGCTAGGCCGATGGTGCTCCTGCAGGCCTGTGGTGCCCCTAACAAGCCTGTGGTACCCCTGACAGGCCCGTGGTGCCCCTCGGCCGGCCGAGTCGCCGGCCCGCCCCGCGTCACGGCCCCGGACAACCGGTCCGCTCATGATATCCCAACATCGCAACACTAGGCCTGTGGTGCCCCTGATAGGTCGGTGGTGCCCACGGGTGCCAGGGGAGGTCATGAGTGACCCATATGACCCCCCCCCCCCCTTCCTTTGGATCCGCCACTGTGATCTGATCACAACCCCCAGAAATAAATAATCGTATAGGTAATCATCAATTGCTTCCCTTGTATTCAACATACGAGAAAATTGACAACACTATTGCCGGCTGGGTCATTTATGACCCAAGGACATTTATCGAGGAAAAAAGTTATCCGATGGCGACAAGAAGGGCAAAAATATACATCATGTCTTTTTCAGACAAATTTAGATGCCAGGTGGACGATCATTCAATAGATAGTAAAGTGCAAACATAACATAATATTACTTTTTGGGACGGCGCGCCATTGCCAGTGACCGGCGGCTGTGCAGTCCCGTCGTCTTTGGCTCCAGAAACCTCAGTGGACGAGCGCACACGAGTTTTATGCGGCTCCGACGCTCGTCGCTGAACTCACAAATCCAACTAAACACACGCACAAGTTCCTCAAAGTGCCACTTGCCTCCATTTAGAAGAAATGTTAAGATGTTGCTTTTGGGTCATATATGACCCAATCGGCATTAATGGGTTGTCGGTAATGGGCATTAATGGGTTGTCGGTAGCCAGCCACCGTTTCCTTTATTAAACTCTGGTGTTCGTCGTCCTTGCAAAACATGTGGGTGCTCCCTTACATTTCTGGGAAAGGGTCTTACAAAACTCAAAAGTGCTATTTTTCATATACAGCATCAAATTTCTGAATGAATTAGCGGAAGCTGCTCCACCAGGGAAAGTCACTACCTTTTATCAGTAACTGTGACTGTCCTGTCCTTCAGTGATGCACCAAGAAGTACTTGTTAGTTCTCTTCACTTAGTGACCAACCAGATTAAATAGGCACTTCTCTGTATCTGTTCATTGTGTTCCCGTCCCCCGTACAACGATCGACCTATCTCTATTCCTTGGCCTTTGCTTACCTCTGCTGTTTGCCTGTCCTCAGTGACCAGCCATGAATAGCATGCTGCCATCGCCGGGGTAAGGTATCCCCAGTATCGGCATTCATGTATAACAATGTACCTGTCTCCGTTCATCTGCTATAACTATCGCTTCTGTTATCTGCCGTCAGTGACCAGTCATGGACAACATGTTGCCGTCGCCGGGGTACAGTATCCCCAGTATCGGCACTCCACTCCACCAGCCAGACGATGACATGCAGATCCTACCACAGGCGTTACAGCAGCAACAGCAACAGGTGCAGGATGGTAGTGTGGTAGGATCCAGGCTATTAAATATATGCAGTAGAAGCTAAAACATAATAATGCCAGTAAGTAATACATGGGTTGCAATGGTTAATGGTGGGGCGTTCTCTCTTCAGCGCAGCCGCCTTTATGCCGCTTATTTCTGAATTAATATATGAAAATAGAAATATGAGGCGCAAAAACAACGTCTCACATTGATTTTGTTCCTTATCGCATGTCTCGTTAGCTTACAATTGCTGTCCCACTGTTGGTCTTAACTTTATTACCTTCTATTCGTCCTCGTTGAACCACGCTGTTCTGACATCCCTCCCCGCTACCCTCTGCCCGTCCCTCCCGCAGCAGCAGCAGCAGCAACAGCAGAGCCAGCAGCAGCAGCAGGGGCCGCAGCAGTCGCAGCAGCCGACGCCCACGGGGCTGGGTAACTTCACGCCGCACAGCCTGCTGCAGCCGCAGACGCCGATGATGTCTCCCTCGCTGCACCAGCTGCACGGCACGACGCCTTCGCACGGCGGCCACTCGAGCCACTTTAACCCGGCCACGCCGGGGCCCATGACGCCGCTCAACCCGGCCTCCAACGACCCGGGCATCGTGCCCCAGCTGCAGTGAGTGGGGAGTGTGTGTGTGGGGGGGGGGAGGGGGGAGGGGACTGTGGGGCGTAACGACCCGGGCATTGGAGCTGCGGCTGAGGCATCGTCCCCCAGCTGCAGTAAGTCAGGTGGGGGAGTGTTGGGCGTAACGACCCGGGCATCGTGCACCAGCTGCAGTGAGTCGGGAGCAACGACACGGGGAGTGTGAGACGTGCCCCAGGCTGTAAGTTACAGTGGGTCGGGTGGGGCCGGGGGTCTGTGAGGTGGGGGGGGGGGGGGGGCGTAACGGCCCGGGCATCTTGCCCCAACTGCAGTGAGTCGGTGGGGGAGGGGGTAACGACCTGGGCGTCTTGCCCAGCTGCAGTGAGTCGGTGGGGGAGGGGGTAACGACCTGGGCATCTTGCCCCAGCTGCAGCGACTCGGGCGATGCGTGACGACCCGGGCAGCGGAACTGTGGGATGTGAATTGTTACGTTACGGGGAGCCACGTGGGATGTAAAACATGGGGAGAAGAATTTACTCAACCACATATCGACCCTTAGAATATAAGAATTTCGACTTCGTCAGTAGCGTAGCGGCTTGAATTTTCGTGGGTCAATTGTCTTGTGTCTGCCAATCTTATGCCTGTGCATGTGTACTATGTGTGTCCCGTTTCTATCATGCTCTTCAATCTTACCACGTTACGTCCAAATTGCTTGTGTCACACATAAGTTGTCTGATCTGAGCCTTCACTGTCGTCAGGAACATCGTCTCCACCATTAACATGCTGTGCAAGCTGGACCTGCGCAAGATCGCCATGCAGGCGCGAAACGCCGAGTACAACCCGAAGCGGTTCGCCGCCGTTATTATGCGTATCCGAGAGCCCCGCACCACTGCGCTGATATTCAGCTCGGGGAAAATGGTGTGCACAGGGGCCAAGAGCGAGGATGACAGTCGACTGGCCGCCAGGAAATACGCGCGCATCATCCAGAAACTGGGCTTCGACGTGAGTCAGGGGGATGAGATAAGACGGGGTACTGGGGAGCTGAGCGAGGATTCAGGAATAGGGGCGTGGTAGTGAGGGTGCTGGGAATGTAAATGGGGCTGAGACCCCGGTAGTGCGGATGGGTGGCCGGGGAGTGGTTTTGCTTCGATGGATTAGAGGACTGTTGATACTAAAAATGTATTCCTTTTTTGGCAATCTATTAAATTTAGCGGTTTGGTGCGGTCCTCAATGGTATTTTATGATGATGAAAACCAGGGGTGCGGGGCCGGAGCCGCCGGAGCCGGCACATTTTGCCCGGAGCCGGAGCCGGAGCCGGAGCCGCCATGACATTTCACCCGGAGCCGGAGCCGATTTTTTCTTCTCCGGAGCCGGAGCCGTCTGAAATTTTTACGGCTCCGCATCGGCCCTGATGAAAACTAGCTATGCTGTTTGCGGCCCTTTAGCTTAAGTTGGCATTATTCGTCAGTTTATTTTATTTATCCACTAGCATGCCGAAGCGCCCTGTGTTTCTACCTCATTGTGATTTGTGTGTCGTTCTCCAGGCCAAGTTCGCCGACTTCAAGGTGCAGAACATGGTGGGCAGCTGCGACGTCAAGTTCCCGATCCGGTTGGAAGGTCTGGTGCTCACACACAACCAGTTCAGCAGGTGCGTACATAAATGGTGACGTAGTTCATGCGGTCTGTCTGTAGGTGGCGCATTTGCTGCTCTGTGTGACGTGGTAGCGGATAAAGCTTTTTAACACTAGACATTGCTGGCATGGTATTTTTGCCATTCTTCATATCATATGTTATTCTACAGTTTATCAGCAACGTGCATTTTTTGAACTCGGTTGAGATAGAGTTACGTTGTTAAATTTTTAACGATAATTATTTTTGCATCATTATGATTAGCAACAGTGAAATATTTTTCCGGCATATACTGGTCACTGGAATGCTTAAATTAAGCCGCATCACTTAAGAATTAAATCAGGACTTCAATTAATTATGCAGATGCCGTCAATTTTGCCGTAATAGTAACGCCGACATACTCATCTCTATTTATTTGCGTTATTTTACGTCGGCATCTCTGTAATGTCTTACTCCGGTAGACAGGGTAGACAGACCTAGCTTCATGTGAAACGTAATGCACTTGTGCAGGTGCATGTAGGTGGCAAAACTGTAACTGACTCAGCTGAAGCGCTCAGATAAGTGGCGATATCTCTGTGGCTGCCCATTTTCGGCCGACTGAGATATCTGGGCGGCAGTGCGCGGCTGCGGCCTTGGCCGGGTCGGAGGCTGACATCCGTCGTCGCCATAACAGACTGTATCTGTCTGCCGTACTTTGGTCAGAGATAGTGTGTGATAGGGCTTTAAAGGCCGCTGTGAGAGACAAGCCAGTGAGCCGACAATCTGCTGACGTTGACTTCAGGGTCCGTCGAAGGAGCGAACCTCTTGCCCCGATTATGCGTTGCGTCATTTGGATAACAGGGCTCAACTCAGGGAATGGATTGAATGGACTCGCGTGAATGGATTTGACATTTATTCCGGGATGTTATGTTACATGAGATAATGAAAGTTTATGTAATACATGATTTGAGGTTATATGCCTTCGCGGTTGATCCAGTTTATACATTTGATGGCAAATTTAATAACCCTCTTTGGTCGAGGAGCGGGCTGGTGTCTGACCCCTGCCTGACGGCTTTCTCGCGATTGATAGGAACGCGTTTTCAATAGAGAGCTAAAAATCACAGCTGACCTTCAATTCAAGCCGAATATTGACAACTACATTTTAAGGACAGGTTAGGTCACTGACCTATGACGTCACAGGTGAGATTCGTAGCATCGCAACGCCTTCGGTGCCAGATTATCTTTTGCGGGTAGATGAGACTTACTGGAAGGAGTACGTTTACGAGCATTCACAACTTATGATTGCTTTATCAGGGTCACAAGCTGATGTCAGTTCGCTCAGGTGACCTCGCCATTTCAATAAAGGAATTACGGAAGGTTATTTGGCGCCGGGATTGACCTAAAGTTATCTCAAGCACATTGCTTCGTGATTTCATACTTTCGGTCCTTGAAAGGTCCCTTGTAGGTGTTTTGTGTTTGTGTTTTCCATGATGAATTTTGTGTGACGTCATGCATAACGTCAATAAGGTCGCTTATTTGTCAGTTTTCGTCAAAACCCAAAGGGACTTAGCACTGCTAGTGTTCCGGGAAAATCACTAATAGACCCAGAAACTCCTGCCAAATCGAATGATACCTGAATGAATGAATGAATCGAATCAAATGATATCGACTGAATGCAATGTGACCCCTTGGACTATCTTAGTGACCTGGACTATTTTGACTTAACATTAACCTGACACCAATATCTTAAGTCGAACTTCCTCAAACGAAAAGTATATCATTCGATGCGCCTTAGCAAGACGAACACGATAGTGCCAAAGTCACAGCTCATTGACCATTTTTGGCAAAGTGTTGTTTTGCAAAATGTAATGGACCCCTACCATAGGGTCTTTAACACGACCCCAGGAGTCAAGCCCTCGTCCCGTAGGGCTATTGCGGGATCTTGTTCGTTATAGGGGACTTTGCCATACCCCTGCTATCTTCGGAATCACTTTGCTGATAATAAACATTACAATGGCCATTGACGGCCATCAGAAATCCCAAGGTAACCTCATTGACCTCATTGCTATCCCTGAGAGTGAGGTCACAGGTCAGTTTGAAGTGTTTTTGTTAACCTTTAGCAGTGGCAAATGTGGTATCCCGGCGATGAGACGTCTCCTTAGCACTCTTATCGATAGACAAGCATTGTCTCAACGATGCATACTTCTATACCAGCTGCCCTCTGCAGGTAGCGGCCCCTCCAACAGGCCAAGTCATTCTGATTGCTCCCCCAGTCCCGTTTTCTCTGCGACCATATAAGGTGGTCTGTGCCTTCAGCGCTTCTTACCTTTTATCTCCCACGTTTTCAGTTACGAGCCGGAGCTGTTCCCGGGCCTCATCTACCGAATGGTGCAGCCCAGGATCGTGCTACTCATCTTCGTCTCGGGGAAGGTGGTGCTAACAGGTAGGTCGATCGTCGTACCCCCGAAGACCCCAGGGGTGGGCGGTGGGACTTGGGCAAATGGGTGCGCCTTGCAGACAGCACTCAGCGGGTGTGTTATATGCGGGGATGAAGTAGGTGTATTGTGTCTGTGATAAACAATTTGTCGTCAGTTTAATGTTTGAATCGGTATTGCTTTTTATTGTAAGCAATCCGTCTAAATTTTGGGTGGAATTGATATGTTTTGCTCAGGTGTTGAACTTTCGAAAAGGTAGGACATGGAGTACAGGGTTTGATCTTACTCAAGCTTTAGAGCTTTCTTTTGACTAAGTTTCTGACTTCTGAAATGTAGTGTCGTTCCCGTCTCACCGACCACTAACCAGCTCTGCCCTCGCAGGAGATTCTCCCACTGTCGATTGACCCACTCCACCGCCGTCCTGCAGGTGCCAAGGTGCGTCAGCAGATCTACGACGCCTTCGACAACATCTACCCCATCTTACGGAGCTACAAGAAGCAGTAGCGGCCGGCGCGGACCGGTACCGCGGCCCGCCGTCCCGCTGCCAGGCGGCCAGCCTTCGGAGCGGGCGGCATGGCGGCGGTGCGGCCCGGTCTCGTTCGGCCAGAGTGTTCCAATCGACTGTGTGTTTCTATTGTATTTGTGCTCGCCGGCGCCACTGGGATGGCCCAAGTGTCACGTGACGTCCTGCGCAGTGTCCACCGTTACTGTGGGAGAGCCCGGAGTCAGGTCACGTGGGGATGGTCAAGATGTTATGTTTTTGATAAGCGGCTTTGTAAGTTGTCTGTCAGTTCAGGGCTGCGTATGGGGGTTGTCAGGTGAGGGCTGCCTGTTGAAAGCGCTACAGCGCCTCCTGGGAAAGGGAGCAGTCGTGGTGGTGGTCCCACCCAGCGCAATCGCTCCACTCACCGGGCCTTGAAAGTGACTACTTACCTCGCAGGCCACCCTGACAGTGTATAAAACATTATCGTGTCCGTGTACATAGGCGATCCTTTCGCCGGAAGGTCGTTTGACTGAATGTCTAAAACTGAATTTCGATATGTTTCGTTGTGCCCTGTTAAGCCTGGGATTGAGGTGCGACGCTTGTGTGGGTATGAAGCTGAACATGGAAAACAATGGTGGCGGGTCTCACAAGATGTCCTATTTTATTAGTTTCACAATTCAGTCTGTCCAGCACACGCCATCATCGGCCAATCAACGATTCTTTGATATTGTTCTTGGTTAGAATACAGTCACACGTGTCATTTGAAAGTGCTGCTTTTTTGTCGCAAGGGCGTGATAGATTGAAGTGCGGAGCTGTAGCGTTGTGCCACGTATCCTTAGAACCATGAGTGAAACTTTGAGCACCTTGGAGAGGGCTGAAATGTGTCGTCGTGGACTATTTCCTCGCGACTGTCAATTTCTGAAATCATTTTCTTGAAACAAGGGTCTTTTGATGTCAGTATGTTTCTTTAACCCCTTTCCTTCAAAGCTATTTGGCTGTCCGAGTGCACCCACAACTTTTGCAAATATATATGTAATGTGTGTGTGGCACAAAAGGGAAAACAGCAGTTTTCTTTCATTTACTCCTCAAATTTCTGCACGTCAGTTCTTAGCCTATTCGCAGAGCCGCAAACAACCTTGCTACATAGGCGGTGCCAGCAAGTCTTTCCGATAGTGAAGCCCGTGACTATCGAATGGTTGGATCTGTTGTGAATCTAGGACTGCAACTTACCGGATTAAGAGCTGCATTCTTGATTATACCTATGTCGATTTTAGGAGTCTTTTGCGACATTGTTATGGAAACTTTGTCCAGGGGTTTGCCGAATCGCGTCAGGCAATGTTCCGTAAAAGATTCACCACTCCATTCAATGCTATATCAAATTTCGTCTAAAAATGCATGGAACAAATATATGCTCGAAAAAAAAACTAAAATCTAAGGAGTTTTGGGGGTTGAATAAACATTGAGGACAGGTAACTACTGCTCACCAGCTTCTAATGCCAATGCCGCGCTACTGGATCCGCCAGGTATGTACTGGTAATGGTCACAAGCTGACGAGCTTCAGTTCCTCAGCCATTTTCTAATGATTGGAGCTGATGAGGAGATAAGACAGTTCACTCTCAATTTTTGATTTGCCAGCACGAACCCAAGCGATGCTTGTTTTCTACAACATAGGTATGTATTGTATTGCTCTTTGTCTTTAGGAAATGCGCTCAAGCATAATCAAATCTTATCGCTCAGTAATCCATCAAACACAATGGAAAGAAAAGAGATGAGTTTTTTTATAATGAAGGTTATCATTCTTTTATAAGCGCGGCACAAATAATTATATTACAGCCAAGGCATTATAGCAGACAATAGTGGCTATTTGCATGAAGCCTAGAAAACTGGCAGGTCTATTTATCGCCTTCTTGAAGTCTGTATGAGCGGCCTTGTTGTTACAAATGTTGCCTTTATTTTCCCTAAACACTTTTGTCTTGTTTTTAAACAAATTCATACGCATTGTACTTATAATATATTTCACAACGGTAAAATCCTGAGGTTTGTTTTAGAGGTGATCGCTTATATTACAAATTAGCTACTCTGACTTTTCTACTTTTATGAAGGCTATGGAACAGCTGATCAGACTCCAAAGTAATCTTATGGCACAAAATAAAGGTTATTTCAAGTAAATGCTCTTTATTTTGATGTTTTGTCATTCAAATTTTTTAATTTGATGTTACTAAACAGCAAATGACTTTCTTTAAATCGAATTTGAACATAAATTGCTCGTTTAATATTTAGTCATTATTACTTTTCTTACTACCACGAAACACATATGTTTCCCTCATACTCTCTCTCCTCACGCATCCCTCTCTCTCCCCGGTTGTCGTCGAGGGCGTGCGGCCTGGTGAAAATGATGGCTGTGGGATCCCTGGACGAAGAGATATTATCACCTGATTTTGTGGATCATACGAGAAGAATGTGTGGTCCTTATTTCAACTTCGTTTCAACTCCTCACAAAAACAGCACAGGTAAAAATGCTACTTTTTCCGGAAGGGCGTGGGGCTCGTGCGTGGCAGCCTGCTGCCAATCAGCTGATCGGGGGTCGGACATTTAACTCCATAGAAAAACACCGTCTTCTCGCAATGCTATTAGAACATTCAATTGGGACATGCAAGGATATGAAGTGTGTTTCCTCATCTGAAGGTACTGTAGGTATTTTTGTTTTCATGATGGGGTGTGGCATTATTTTTTTTTTCTGACAGTCATGGTGGGTGTGACAGGAACAATGACCTTTTGCTGAAAATGTTGCATTTGAGTAGCCTCTTCAGTTTAACAGGAAAACAAGTGCAGATGTTTCCCTTGATTAATATTGCTCAATATTTGCAGATAATACTGCATGAGTCTCATGCATGATATCCACCCACTCACTTGATGTTTGTCAAAGGAGCATAGATGACATTTATCAGTGGATCTGGCTGGTACTGTAATTCCCTAATTGCCCATATTTATCTTAATGTCAAATGTTGATATAATTCATCTTTTTCAGATGCTGTCCTACACTTCAAGATATTGGTGCCAAGTGCAGCTGCTGGTGCTATTATTGGCAAAGGGGGCGAAACAATTGCCCAGCTTCAAAAAGAAGCTGGTGCTAGAGTCAAAATGTCCAAAGCCAATGATTTCTACCCTGGTAAGTATTATATTATATTTGGATAGATTATCCTTATACTTGAGAGAAGACCTTCAGAATAGATTCCTTCTTTCATTCTTGCTCAGTGACCAGCAGTTCAATTTACTTTCATGAAAAAATGGATGTAATAATTGCCTCATGACAAGTATGGATGATGATTCAGTCAGTTAATCAACTTGAAGCTTTGCTGCAAGGTGTAAAGTATTTTAACAGTTTGTGTTTTAAATGTTGCACTGTTGAGTTCTTTTAGTGGTTCAACTTTTGCTGTAAGGTATGCTGTCAAGACAGGAGGTACCAATGTATAGCTGAAAAAAAAATGTTGCAAGAAAAGAAAGATTGTCTTTACTAAGTCATAAGATGACACTTTACTAAGTAATAAGATGACAGTGTTGAAAAACAGCATTTATGAGATAAAAACTGTTAATCCTAGATAGTTAAATTGTTTTTCCAAAGATATCTGCTACTCAAAACTGTAATATAATCATTGTAACAGTGTTGCTCTGTTCTACTTAGTGGATGTTTGGGTTTTGGTTGAAAAAGACATTGTATGGTTGCTGGGATTGAAACTATCTGGTTTATTTTGCTTTGTTGTTTAACTTCCCTGATGCATACAAAACAATGGCTCTGAAATGATTTGAGGTCTAGAATAAGTTTTTCATGAGTTGGTTGTGTATTACAATCTTTCAAAGGATGTAGGTATGTTTCTTATGGTAGATACATATTTGTCATCTGGTGACATTTAATCCTTGAACTGTTCAGATGTTCTGGAAAAGTAAAGTCAGGTTCTTGCCCAATTCCATAACCATGAAAATTTGGTAATTGAAGTAGGTACACACCACACAGCTACTTCCTCAAATCTTTGCTACTGCCCAGGTGATGTGACTCTCCATGCTGAAGCTTTCAGTGAGCTCCTGGAGCATGTCTCAGACTGTCCCCTGGTGCTGTCCACAGGAACCACTGAGCGTGTCTGCCTCATCACTGGCTCCCCTGAGGCAATTCTGCAGGTGCTGCAGTTCATCCAGGAGAAAATCAGAGAGAAACCAGATCCCAATGGAAAGCCAGCCATTGACTTTGATAATAAGATGATGGCAGAGAGAGACAAGCAGGTGAGATGCTACCTTTTTAAAGCTGTGCTTGAGACCTATGTATATTGCTGCGTGTTGTGCGGGCTCTTTTGTGGATCACATTATACTTTTTGCTATTTTAATCAATTGTGTTGCCTTATAACTGATAGGTTCCATTTAAAGATGGGTTCCATTTAAAACAAATTCAATTCTTGAGTGATAAAAATGTGACACATGATTTGTTGAGTATCAAGGGCAGATGACTTCTTAGTATGTTATAAACAGTTTGTATGACAAACATGCTGAGAAGTTGCTCAACCTTTCTGGAAACCTATCACTAGAGAGCTTACCTAAAGCTAACTGGTTGATTTTCATTACAAAGAGTAAGCTTTCCTAACGTTTGGTCCCAATCTTTTTCTGTCATATGACATGTGAAGTTACTTATAATATTAGGCCCATGAGGTTTGTATTCAGATGGCCCAGCTTCCAAGCAGCCCAAGTCAGCTTTAAAGCTCTGCTATCACCTGTCCTTTCCTAACTCTGATCCACATTTATAACGATGCCTCTGCTGAGGTATGATGTCTGATGTATAGCTGTTTTTGTGCTATCCAGCTATTGTTTCTTCCTATTTATCCTATTGGATATACCTCATTATTTATATTGTCTCATGCAGTCAACATGAGCCCAATTTGAACATGCGTTTTTTTTTAGAGAAATGTCTGATCATCAAATGCTTTTCTGGAAAGCCTATCAAATAATTTTCCAGTAACAAGATGTGCCTGTGCTTGTCATTACCCTGTTGTTGTCATGGATTGCACTGGCAACTAGACATTGATGAATTCAGCAATTCATCGCGTCTAAGACTTGGACGCGTCTAACTAGACGCGAAATGGAAGTTTCCACCCCTAGGGAGTCAAAAGGCTTCAAATTGTTTGTGAACCACAGCACAGGCTGCAGGCAAAGATAATGTTGAAGACATGTGAAAACAGTGACTCGTTTTCATCTGGAACATGAAAACACTCTTAACGCTTGGCGAGCATCGGAACTAAATAGTGTTCACTCTGCATCATTCTTTCATTTTGACAGATTTCACTGTCATCTGATATCGAAAATCTGGCATCGCTCCACTCATGTCACCCTGCATTCAGCAACAACAGCCCAGCTAAGCCAGCCCAATAATTATTCATTCATTCAAACACAATACCTGTCGGCACTGCGAGGAAGGTTATTGCCGTTCTATTTTTCGCGGTTTATGAACATAAGCGGCTCCGAACAATGACGGTCGTCAATTGTGCGATTTCCAGGTAAAGATTCTGGTGCCAAACAGTACTGCCGGTATGGTGATCGGCAAGGGCGGCAACTACATCAAGCAGATCAAGGAGGAGACGGGCGCCTACGTGCAGATCTCGCAGAAGGCCAAGGACCAGACCCTGGCCGAGCGGTGCATCACGGTTATCGGTGAGTACCGGTTGCGGCTGGATGGGGTGAGCTGACCCGGCCGTCACATTCTCTGGTACATTCACCGTGACCCGTGCCGCCCGGCGGTGACACCGACCCACCGACCGGCCGGGTCGCCGTCTTTTAAATCGCTCGGGGAGTGCCGGAACTGTCTGCCGTCGACACGCTGATGCCCCGGGCCGCGAGTCGGCTTCCGCTGAAACTGAGCCGCCGTGGTTACCGGAGCGCTCGCTCGGTCGTTCCGCGGGCTGGACGGTGTGTGTGTGGGGAATCCTGGCCAACGGTGGCGGTCGTGACGGCCCTGCGGGCTGCCTGTCGGTGTCCCCACCGCCACTGCAGCCGGCTCATGACGCACCGGTTCTCCTGGAAATGGGAGGCGGTCGGTAAATCGGAGGTGTGGTCAGCCGGCTGGTAACTGTGACGTGCATGGAAGGCCGGAGAGGATGTTACGTGGTATGAGCGTGTGTCTCCTTCGGCCGCTTCCGCCTCTCTAGCTGTATCCCGGATCGTGACATTTGTGATATTTGGTCACTTCGAAAATCACCGCTGGTTGACGTTTGGCATGGGTTTGACTTGAGCATGGCTACTCAGTGTGACTCCGTAATGCATTCGCCCGTGCCTCAACTAAGAACCAGTCTGAGCGACGTTTTAAACCCCAGCAACATGACAGGAGCTCAACTGGGACCGGTGTCAGCTGGGAAGGCGTGACCGCCAGTTGGGAATATCCGGTGCCGCGGCGCCGGCTCCGCCAGCTACCTGCCCATGCAGCGTGCGGGCCCGGTTTTTGTGCACGCGCTGCCGGTGCACGCTGAGGTGATATCGGCGCCGTGAGCTGCGCCGGTTATCGCCCCGTCCAGTTCCTGTCTGAAACTGCCGCGACCGCTCTGAGCAGGCAGTTTTTATGAGGCGCTGAACCCGTGACACTTTTTGTCGGCTTTTTGTGCGTTCGATCCTGTGGGTTACTACGGCGATGCGCAGTTCGTCAACTCTGCCGCTTTTGGCAGAGATCCAAGTGCGCCATACGTATCGTCCGAGCTGTGTCGCGTCCTTCAGGCGCCGCTCCCGCTGTCTCCGAGTCTGTTGCTCGGTCTCCGGCCGGCGCCGCTGCCGCACCTGGCTCGAGCCGCAGCTCACTCGCTCGACCGGCGAGCTGCGGCGCCGGCCGCCGCCGCTGCTGGCGGGGTCACTGGCCGGGGCTGGGCGGCACCGACCTCGACCGGCCGGCCGCGGCTTCAGTTAATGGCGAGACGCAGCGGCCGCCAGAGGCTGCCACCGAGACGCTGAACGGGATGCGGCGGAGATTGCACGGCGCCGCTGCTGACTGGCACGTGGCTTCCTCGGGCCGCGGCCGGGCCGGCCGGGCGGACGCCATTCTGCGTACCTCCGCCTGCATGGTGCGTGCATGGCACGCGGTGACGTCACGGACAGCTGAGCCGAGCCGTGCCAGAGGTGCTCGGCGCCGTCGGCCGCCCCGCCGCCCGGATACCGGGCGAGCCGCCGGCGGCGGTATTTGAGGAAAGCGGCCGTCGCGGTCGCCGGGCGCCGATTGCGATCAGCGGCGAGCGGATTGTTCCGGGCTGCAGCTGAGGGGTGATCGTGCCGCCCCGCCCCCGCCCCCGCCCCCGCTCGGTGCGGCGGCCCCATCCCCACCGACGAGCCCTCGTGGCGTCTGACGGCCGCGTGGCACAGGTGAAACCGTTTCGGCCAGCTGCGTCATCGTGCCCCGCCCTGCGCCGGTGGAAACCGAGATAGTATCTTCACTTGCCGGCTACAAAAACGCTGGGACGTTCGCATGAACTGGGCCTCGCTTGGCGTCAGCCGTCGAATTGCTGATGCCGTATATTTGTTGAGTAAACACGGCTGGTTGTCCGTTTTTCGCGGCCTGGATGCCCGGCTGGTGGAAGGGGCCCGTTTAGCGGCGGTGTCGGCTGGCTCGGCGCCGCCGCCGCCGCTGGCCGGTCGGTCGGTGGGCGGGGGCGGCGGCGGCGGCGGTCGGCTTCTCTCACCTCTGCCGCCGACCCTGTGCGGCGGCGCTCCATATTGATTGGATGGCCGAGTGACGCGGCCGCTATCATCGGCCCTCCGAGTGAGAGCACCGTACCGCCGCCGCCGGCCGGCCGCGCCGCGCCCCCACAACTCGAGTCCGCCGAGCCGTCACGGCTGCCGCGAACGAGCTGCTGTCTTATCCGGCGGCCGGCGGCCAGCGACGGCCATTTTGGTTTGTCAGTGGCAGAGGTGGCCGTCTATTTTGGGCACGCCGTGCCGGTGACATTTACAACATGTCACATCTGCGCACTGCCCCCGATGGTGTGTGCATGTGCTGCCCTTGATGTTTGGGGCCAATCCGGTGTGCCTTTGTGAATGTCGCGCCGCCCTGCTCGGTCAGTGTTGTCTGCCGAGCGGCGCGGTGGGAGGGGTGGGGCACACCGGCGCAGGTCGACCGCCGGCGCCCGACGAGCTCTGCCGCGGCTAAACTGTGCGGCTCCCCGGCGCTGGGTTAATGGGCGGGTCACGACCAGCCCGCGCCCGCTCATGAACCGCTCGTGATTCGGGCCGCACGGGCCTGAAAGGAACGCTCATCCGGGAGACTTTCTCTGCCGGATAAATTCATGCTCATAGTTGATTACATCTTGGTAACGGTCGACTCGGGAGGTATGCTTTGCAGATAAACGCTGTATATTCTGGACAGGGAGTTTGGTCGCTTTCTTTATGACCCTGAACAGCCTGAAGTTTATTTATTGATCGCTCGGAGTCGGCCAACTAATATAACATTTTTAATTTCGCCGACGGCTGCCTGCGTTCTCCCAATGGCTGAACGATGGATGCAGAATGTGGTTAGTCCGAGCTCCAAAGGTTAGCCTTGTGAAGCTGAACGGTTATCGGCTGTTTGCTCGGTTTTCTTGAAATGCTCGCGCAACTCTTGCTGTTTCGTCATTTCGCTAGACTGAGCGTCTGCGGACATTTTGTAACTCCTGCTATTCCATGCACCCACATCTACCACGGAAAGGTCAAGAGTGCCCTGCGGGACGCCATGCAAGAACAACTTATTGAACTGTCATTTCCGGCTTTCCAGGCTGTTAACCATGCATAAAAATGACATCTCGGTACAAGAAAACGACAGTTAACGGATTTCAGTTCACCTCGCATTTTGTGATGCATGGCGAGAAAAGGAAGGACCTCAGTCATCATTCCGTCCCTGCCATTTGCCACGATAAATTCATCCTCTCGCCATCACCGGTAGAGGACATTTGATGACACTACTATTCTCTGAGAGCCTGGCCGGCCCGCCCCGCCGCCGGCCGCGGCCATTTTTCCGTGGCCGATTGTTGCGGCCGATCGGCGGGTGACTCGCCAACTGGTGCCGGGGCCGGGGCCGGCTCTGGACGGCTGCGGCGCGCCGCTGGCACCTCGCCGGCCGCCGCCCTCCCGCGGGCTGCCCCCGACAGCTGGCGCCGCCGCAGCCACGGCCGAGACCGGGGTGAAATCCCCGCGCACCGCCCAGCTGAGCGGTGCGTGAGCCCCGCCGTCGGCCGCTCGGCTGACCTTCGACGCCGTTTAAAGTCCGCCCGCTCGGCCCGGATCGCGTCGGCAGGGCGGCGCGGCGGCGGCGGCGGCCGGCGGAGCTCAGGAAGGGTGGGTTTAGCTTGCGCAACCGTGGCCGTCGCGGCGTGCGGCCGGTCAGCTGACGGTACCAGTCAGCTGACTGAGCCGCCGCTCGACCTTGACCCTGCGGTTGTTCACCTTCGGACGCGGCGGTAGCGTCCGGCCTTAAATGGCCGTCCGGCACCGCTGGGCTATCGGTGGACCGGGCCGTGTCTGGGCCGTGTGCCGGCCGCTTACTGCACCGACCTGCATCGAACAGCGCTCCGCCGCGCCGGCCGACCGGCCCGTAATTAGGTGCGCCGCGCACGGACCGGCCGAGCCTCCGCCGCGGGCCCCGGCCGGACATCGAACCTCTCCGCCGGCTCATATGCGTCACTTAATGAGTTTCGGGGGATATAAGATCGATTTGGCATGGATTGCCGGAGCGGAGATGGTGGCAGCTTGGGCGGCGCCTGCTCGCCGTGCACAGTGACACCAGTGGAGCACTTTCTCCGGCCGGCGCTGCTGCCATCCTGTTCATGCCCAGGTCTCGCTCTCTCGCTCTCTCTCAGCCCCGCCCGTCTTTCCCAGTCTCTCTTTCTGTGCACGCTGCTTTCGCCGATCGCCATGCTCTCACTATCTCCCCCCCCCCCGACCCGGCCCTGCCCCGGGTGCGTTGTTTTCGTCTGTATGGTAATGCTGTGAGCATGTCATTAGTCACCATGATGGCTAAACGAAGTGATGCATTATACATATGATCAGTGAATGGTATATCTGACGGGCGGCCATTTTTTAAACCATCCGTCCCCGTCGTTCGCCACATACCTACCGGATTCCATACGTCACGAGGTACCTGCTCGGCATCCGGTGCGGTCCGTTTCCTGATGGGACAGCTCATGAGCCGCGCGGCGGCCATTGCCGTTCCGCTGGGTGTCCTTGGCCGTGGCCGGCGCCGGTGACGCCGCCGCCGGCCGGTCGGCGGGCTACAGCGGCGCGCCGACACCTGATGACGTCAGGATGGCGTCGGCCGACCCGTTTTGCGTCATCGGCCGCTCTCCTGGCCGTCGTCCGCGGCGGCGGAGGCTGCGCCGCCTTTGTTACGACCACGCCGTCTGTTGTGCCTGATATTGATTTGCCTGACTGGCTGGCCGCGCCTGGCCTGCTCTCCGGTCGGTCGGTGTGGTGGGCGAGATGGACATTTTTAGCGGCGATGATTGCGGGTCTATGACGTATAACGTCTGTTTTTGTGTGTTTGTAATGACTCATTTGATTCACTTATAGCTTACGCGATAATGAACATTGAGAGATGTAACCGAAAGCGACTTGTTGCTTTGCCTTTGCCACTAAAAAAAAAAAAATAGTGGGCTTTTTTAGTCCTTGTCAGTGCACGCTGCTCGATAGCATGACCTGACTGCTTACCTGACCCGATAACAGGAGAATGGTCTCTGAACTCTGACCCTTCCAGAATACATTGCTCATTGACCGGACCTGACCTGGTCTGACCTTGGGCTAGGTCACCACCCTATCAATGCACACATTGCTCAATCACCTGACCTGCCCTGACGTCTGTGCCCCTTGTGCCTACAGGTGAGCGCGAGGTCTCCCAGGCGGCCTGTATGATGATCCTGATGAAGGTGAGCGAGGACCCGCAGTCGGGTAGCTGCCTGAACGTCAGCTATGCAGACGTCAGCGGGCCGGTGGCCAACTTCAACCCGACCGGCTCGCCGTTCGCCGTCAGCAGCTCCGGATCGCCCAGCGGACAGAGCAACGGCAACGTCGACTACGAGAACTGTGAGCGAGACCGAGAGACTAGGGTAGAGGGGAATAGGGAGTGGTCGTGGCGGGAGTGTAACGTTGGGAGATAGGCATTGGGATCATTGATCTTTGGTGGGAGAGGCAGCTGAGGCAGTGAAACCGATAACGGTATGGGTAGGACCAGTTATCAATATTTAAAGAGTCGAAAAGATAATGCAGGATTTTTGCTGCCTTTGTGACAATGGGTTTGAATGCAGAAGTAAACTAGGGATGATCGTATGTATGACACTGACGCTGACCGAGACTGACTTGTGCTTTAGTCACCCTGAACCCAACTTGTCGCCGACCTCTCGAACCCATCGGGCACAATCAATAGATAACCGCGTATATCTGAGCTGAGTGGCTGCCTACGTGTCCCCATTCACCTGAATGACAAGTGCTTCATCTCATATTGGCTTTACCGTGGATCCAATTATCAGCCGACTGAATGTAAATTAGATCCACAGCGGCGTGAATCCCATGAGCTGAGCTCCAGGCACGAGCCGACCCTGCCAGTCGTTCTGCGTAGTGGGACGTGTTAAAATGCATGCCGGGCAGCCGTACGAGTGTTTCCCGTTTTCGCCGCTCCCTGAACACTGTTGGGGCAGTTTATGACCCAGGGGAACGCACTTATGCGAGAGAGCGTCGAATGGACCTGTGATGTGGACGAAGGTAGTTATATTTCAACGGATTGGACTATCTGTATCCTGTTTTGACTTAGTGTCATGAACTTTCTCGTACCAGAAGAGTCTGGTTGGGTCCCCTCCATTCGTAGACGGTTCCTGATTCCATGCTCCATCCAGTGCTGCCCTGCCCAGTGTGCGCTCCCTGTCCCACTCAGTGCGTGCTCCTTGTTCCGCCCAGTCTCCACCTGATGCCCATCTAGTGCGAGCTCTGTCACGCTTAGTATACGCTCCCCGCCCAACTGCGTCCTCTATGTCCCGCTCAGTGTACGCTTTCTCCCCCGCTCAGTATACGTTCCGTGTCCCGCCCAGCGCGAGCTCCCTGTCCCGCTCATTGTGAGCGCCCTGTCCCGCTCAGTATACGCTCCCTGTCCCGCCCAGCGCGAGCCCCCTATCCCGCTCAGCGCACGCTCCCTGCCCTGTTCTGCCGTGCCGCCCCGCTGCAGTGAGCGCCCTCTGACCTGTCGCGGTCGGCCCGTGTTTTCCTGCAGTCGTGGCCAACCCGACGGTGCTGGCCAACGGTCTTCAGCTGGAACTGCACCCGCTGCCGCACAACGGGACGGGACACCACCTGACGCCGCAGACGCTCGATCACATCCACAATACGCTCCGGAGCAGCGGCTACCCCGAACAGGTCAGAGGAGCGGAGAGGATAGAGGAGCGGAGAGGGACAAATGGATAGAGGGACGGGGCAGCGGCTATCCCGAACAGGTCAGAGGAGTGGAGAGGGATGGAGGGATAGAGAGATAGAGCAGCGGCTATCCCGAGCGGGGCAGAGGAGCGGAGAGGACAGAGGGATATAGGGACGGAGCAGCTTCTATGCCGAACAGGTGAGAGGGGCAGCGGAGGTAGACAGACGGGGCAGCGGCTATCCCGAACAGGTGAGAGACGCCATGGAAAGTAGTGGGACGGAGCAGCTTCCATAACGAACAGATGAGAGGGGCGGAGAGGGATAGGATAGAGCGAGAGAGGGAGGGAGCAGGGACTTCACAGATGAAAAGGTAAGATGGAAGGGGAGGACGGAAGGGTAGAGTGCGGCTCAATGTTTCCGGGGAAAGGGATGCTCAGGGTCGCAGAAGGGCACCCTGCTGATACGCGGGATGCGTGAAGGTAGATGTCGCAGATCAGACATATTGGGTGACCCAACATTGTAGTTTTTGCCTTTACACGGCAGAACGACAGCAAGGAGAACGCAGAGCCTAAGCTGAACAGGTCATGGCCATGGAAGATGCCGTCCCGAGATACGAGGAGCTTACATAGGAAAGGTTGAACGCTCTGGGGATTCCCAACCAGATAAGAGGTGAAATACTGTATAGCCGTAAGACGCTGACATGTTGGCAGAAAGCTGTACTTACAGCTGGACGCCCACAATAGAGCACAGTCAGCCGTCATTACCAATTCTCAGTCGGACGTTAGATGATGTAAAAGCCTGTTGGCAACGTGGGCTATGTCATTGGGAAGCCCCGTTTGCACTCACTCTGCCTCTGTCCGGTAATGCATTGTGGGCGGGTCGCGGCCGAATATGTCAGACCATGTCAACTCGGTGCATTGCAACCGGCTTTTGAGCTCTATCACAAGGGACGGCCGACTTCTAGCGTGTACTGTTTGAAGCCTGGCCGACCGAACCTAAACAGAACGCTCTAATGCGTCCCGCTCTGAGCTCAAAGATCGCGGCGAACACGGCCGAAATGCACGTGTCGCACGGTCCGAACACGGGCCGGATTCGGCACGGCGCCACATAATGAAAACGTCCATGTGGAGCATGTCAGTGTGCAGGGGCGTCGGTTCAACGGCACGGTAATCTGGCCGCCGGACAGGCCGGTTTAATTTGGGCGCCGTGTGTCCCCGTGCCGTGACAGGACTGATGGTGCGCCTGATGGCATTCGTGCCGCCGTGAGCGGGTCATGAAGTACTCCGGATCGGTTGCGCTGTTACCAACAGCGTCCACGGACGTTCTTAACGGTTACTGGTTTACAGTAAACATTTTGAAAAGTAACTTTTCAAAACACAAAACACAGATCCCATGCCATGCGGTAAACCCGGCTTGTTGGGTTGCATTGGTATCAATTTGGCATCAATCCTCCATGACTACGACGTCGTATGATGAGGTACCGAGAGCTGAATCTCTGCCTCTTATTCAAGGCTCGGTTCTGATTCACCTCGTCCGCCACGGCTTGAAGTGCCCCAGGCTGTCTGTATCAGTGCACCGGAGCGGCGGCTCCCGCCGGCCTGCGTTGCAGCTCACCTCAACCTTTCATGCAGCTCCGCAATAGCACAGCATGTGACGTCATCGTGGCAGCGCCGGCGGCTACAAAATTGTGCGGACAGTCTGAGATTGGCCGGTCGCTGAGCGCTGGCCGGCGGTGCTCTATTTTAATCGGCCGGCCGTCTCTCGCCGCCGGCGGCTGTGACGTACTCCCTGTGCCCGGGGCGTGGAGCGGAGAGGCGAGTCTGTGGCCCACGGTCCCACACCTGACCGGGCGGCGAGCCTCCGCACGAGCTGAGCCGAGCTGACTGAGGGTGGGTGGGGTGTGATGGCTGGTGTAAGGCTGGTTAGGTGGTGCCTGAGTGAATTCGGCGTAAAGATGCCGTGTTTTTATGGAGGCTAGTGTCGTGTTTTTGTGTGCCGGGCGCCGGGTGGTTGTTTTATTTAAACAGGCTGAGCTGGCACACGTGGGATCTGAGTGATGCTGGTATAAACTTGGGAATACTTGTGCTGAGCTTATGTTCACACTTCTTTGCATTGAGCTTGTGAGGTAAAATTATTATTATTAAATTGCTATTAATTATTATTAAATTAGGGCGCAAAATGACCTCGCAGTCGGCGCGCCCCTAACCCCCCAACAAACAAACAAAGAACAAATTTGCCGTGTGCAGGAGAGTTCGTTCTTCTAAGGTGCAGTAATCTCGTTTTGATTACACTCAGAAGTATCAGTGATTGCAGCAGCTTTTGAAACACTCACAGGTTGTGACGGAGGGAAGACGGCACTGTCCCCAAGACGGCACCTGACATTTTTTAAAAATCATAATGTGGGTAGCTTAGATACCATGTCAATAGTTGTGCCAGGTTTTTTATTTTATTACAATCGTGTTTAATTATTTGCTCGCATTGTCTCATACCTACGTGACCATTGCGAAAATGCGAAAATTTCCGTACTTATGGAGCGAGAAGGCATGGAGCCGACATGCGTGCAGCGTACGCCAATGAGGTTCTGATATTGCCCGTAATTTTTAGCTCGTCGCTGATCGCTAGCGTTAGTATCTGAGTGGAATCTTTTGGCTTTGGCAGTCCTTTCCCCCACATGTGATTTGCAAGTCCCTTTTCAAAGATGTGCTACCTCTGGTGATGCAAAGTGAGAAGTTTGCCGGAAAAGCAATTAACACATTGTAATGAAATTCTCTCGAAGAGTTCTCAACCCTTCACATGACATTGCTTCCGGCACTTACTGATTCTGATAGATTCTGACGAACCGTGAACTAACTAACTATTAGCATATCCTGTTTTAAATGTACACCGTGCCAGCGCGATGAGCTAAAGCCCGCAGGGCAATGGACATCCGCAACTAGTTTGAACTCTCTGTAACCTTTCGAATTTCGTTATGTGCACAAGTTTCATGTCCTGTAGGCAAATGTGTCGAAGCTGTTCAACCACATGGACTATGAAGGCCGGAGGCGTGGTGTGCTGCATGGTCTTTCCGAGGATGTTCTCAAGTATTTCTTGTTTGGGGTGACTGTGTCTTACTAACCTACATGAAACTTGTGTGGTTTGAGTGAACCCTCTCAGTGTGTGTAACTCCAGTTTAGTTGATGCGCTCGACTCATTCAACGGCAGAACTAGGAAGGTTGCCAGTCCCACCCTCTGTTTCTAGCTGCATCATGTAGGACGTAGGTGCTTAGACACTGCCCAACCGTATTGGCCCTACTTGGCGAACGACTATCAGATGGGTATCGACATGATTGATGTAAGATAACATCTATCATTAGTGTCATGTTAACCACTTTGTGATATCATTGGCGGTGATTCGGCGATCGGCCACTTGTACCCGTCTGCCGGCCTTGTCTGGAGTGATGACAAGACAGGCTGGCGATTATTTGCAATGGGGCACTCGTTTTGACCGCCGAGCTGCTTGTCAAGTCTAACGCAACGGAAGAGATTCTTTTTGCATTTATTCTGCTCTGCTTTTAGATCAATGCTGCTAATTTGAGTAACAGTCGGGGCTGTGGTGTTTATGTCGTGCTGCTCCAGTTTGCTGAATTGACCCTCTGAAATTATGTTCGGGACTATGAGATTATTGACTACGATATAATTTAGAGGAGACGTACGTGCCATTGTTGTATGCATGACAATCTTCGGTCATTTCAGTCCTAGAAATCTGCTCCTCAAGTCTGATAGTCAGATGAAAAGATTGCGATCCGTGATTCTCGCCGATCACGCTAAGTTGCATGATCCCAGAATCCGAACCGTTCTGCCCTCTGCATTCGTCGCTCTGACCGGTGCTGCCATCTGTGTTCTCAGGCCGCTAACGAGATAACGACTGCGATCGATACGCTGGCCATGTACGGTATTCTGGGCATCAGCGTGCCGGGCTCTCCGATTTCGCCGGGCCAGAGCTCGCTGCCCGTCTCTGGAAGCTATCCGCACCCCTCGAACGCGCTGATGGCCGGCCTCAATGTCTCCACCAGGTGAGCCACCGCCTGGACTTCACTCTGACTAGAGACTGTGAGGAAGAGAGTGAGATAGTGGGCGGTCCACCTTTGCACTCGTCCCAGACAGGGTAAGATACGGTCATGAGAGATTAGATGATTAAGATCTTAGGTAGGATTTAACGCCTCTGTCGGGCATGCTGCTTGTTATTGTGCGCTGTGTGTGGTTTGTGATGCATGTAGATATCAGTCTATGATAGATGAGTACACCACTGACGGTTGACTGGCTGTCAGTGGCAACGAGAATGGATGGCGCCACTTAGTTGATTGCCGGCTATGATATGCTCGTCTGGGCGGCGGGGCCGTGCTGTGGGCTGGCCCTCGCCTCTGCTGGTGCCCCCGGTATCTGACGCCGTGCCGTCTCCCCGACAGTGAGTCTTTGAACGGCAACTCCTCGCTGTACAGCCCGCTCTCGCCGATGGTGGCTCTGCCGTCGTCGGGCTCTCAGGGCGGCCCGCCCGGCTCGCCCGGCCGCAAACAGGACCCGTTCACGTCCACGGCGGCCGAGGCGTACGACCCGTTCCGCGGTCCGGCCGCACTCAGCCCACTGCCCGTCAATAACAACTCGTACGGGCTGGGTACGCAGTCGGGTGGCCTGGCCGGCCTGAGTAAGAGCCCGCCGCCGCCGGGCGTGCTGCAGTCGGCCATCATCAAACAGGCCGAGACGCCCGACGGACAGCACAAGGTCGACCTGGAGGTGAGCGACGCGACGGGGGAGGACTGAGGGAGGGGGACCGGGAGGCGGCAGTGTCAGGTAAGGGTATGGAACGGGGACGCTGGCTGATGGGAGTTAGCTCGCTTACGACCAGCACAGGTCATAAAATGAACTTTTTACATGGAGAATGCTGGATTTTAGAGCTTGGTCTCAGCAAAATCGAAGAAATAAGCATGTATGACGTCAAACCCATTTTCGCATGTAACTACTTTTTCATAACTTCTAAGCGCTCTCACTTGTGGTTGTGTCTATTGAGTCGATTGAGATCATCAATGAATCCGACATTGAGTCGATCGGTGGCTTTTTTGGATTCCACGTGGCCAAACCTGGATGACACCAAGTCAGGTCATAGCCCTGGGCGGAACGATGACTCCTTTGCCTCTAAAATCATCCACCCATCGGAGAGCGATATTCTGCTGGACCAGCAGACGGTCCTGTCGATCGATTCCGGCCGGTCCGGGCCGCCGATGGGCGTGCTGACTCGGTAGTCACCGCCGCTGGACTGTTGATTATATGAGGGAGCTGCGGCGACGCTGGGCCGGTAATAGGCTGCTCTGTGGTGTCGGGGTGTCTGTTTTACCGCGAGACTGGATGGTCGCTGATGCTGGTACTCGGGCGGACTTAGGATCGTGATGCTGGAGAGCAGACACAACAGCGGGGTGGTCACTCTGGGTTCTGCGCCGCCTGGCTCGAACCAATAAGGTCCGTGGTATTTAATTATTTGGTTCATAAATTTGCCGCGCCTCCAATGTTACGAAGCTCGGCCTTATTTTTAGATCCACAAAGCTGTTCATGCTAAGTATTAACCTTTACATTTATTCTTGTCAATGACAGTTTTCTGGGAATTTAGCTTTCTTTTTGCTCTTGACATTTCATTTCTGAAATAGTTACCTATTCTAAGGCCTGATAATCGTTCACCGTATGTTCAGTATCCATTTGTTCTTGTCGTTCACCGGTTATGATGCTGATTGCATCGGCCCAAACGTTATCGTGACGCCATGTCAACCTAAAACTGGTGTCCTTCTCAATCCATGATAGCAGGAATGAAGGTCTCGAAAATACATTTCGTAGCAAATGTTCTCTGAAGCTAGTTATTTCCTTTGCTTCCTCTATGTGACCTCTGACATATACCAAACTGTAGCCAACAATCATCCTCAGTCAGTTTGAGTGGAGTTACGGCCTGTCTCCTTTTCCTCTGAGCTCGGGAGCGTTGATTTATGCCGGTTATATGTCAGACTTAAATGTCAATTCCAGAAATCGACGCCCCGACCTTCCCGCCTACGCCATATATCAGCTCGGGTGGCGTTATTTATATCTTATTTAGGATACAGAGTGTGCATGGCGAGTTTATCGGCCGAATGTATCACCCATGTCTCATAGTTAAGGGAGTAGCGGTGCTCCAAATCGCTTGTTTCAGATGATACATCGTCTGATGTCGTTGTCTTCTTACTTGGATATTATAATTTTAACAGTGTTGTTTGGGGCGACGAGATATGCTCATGGTAAATAGGTCGCATTATCGCTAACTGTCCTGTTCCTTTTAGCACGTTGATCTCTTGCTAATCTCAGATTTACGAATCGTCATCGGACTTACGTTCCATGTCCATACCTCAGTCGGCACAGTCTTCTACAGCTTGTATAGTGCTTAGATCGCCGTTCTTTTGACTCGTCATTTGTAGGCGCTCGCTAGGTCCCAGGCTTGGTAATGGAATTAACGTTGTGCCTTCGTCGCATCGTCGCGGCATCGAATTACTGTTATTGTATTTGGCTCAGACGACCAGCATATCTTGTTTGGCTCCAAATGCGTAGTTATTGATCCCGACTAACTTCCTGAAAGGGACTTCTGCGCCCATATTATTCGCAATATGCGTTGATTAATGTTGATGCCCCAGTAGTCGTCGCTCAATTTCGCTATTTGGTTTTCAGATGTTTCTTGTCATCCTTTGATTACGTGGCCCTTTTTATATGGATAGTCCGTTTTCATAGCGTCCCGCTTTGCTGCATTGATTTTCACTCTTGTTATGGCGTTATAATTGTCGATCTGTGGATATTGTGTGCAGGGATGGGCCGATAACTGGAGCATGAGCTCGTGCATGTCTTTTAAACTGGTGTTGAATTTCTTACTTTTTGCTGCAGCCGTTTTTGTCTCTATTTTGGTCTACCGTGTCTCTTTTTCTGTCTTATGTGTCAGAGATAGTATCCGAGTGTGGTGTTGGTCTGGCATCTGTATCTGTGAGGTGTTAATTTATTGTGTGTTTCGGTATCCACCATCTCAGATTTACAACTGTAGCCTGTGTCTGTGTGCTGCGGCCGTGCGTCTGTCAGTGTTCTGACGGCTGCCCTCCACAGGTGGGCGAGTACATTATCGGCGCCATCCTGGGTCCGGCCGGACGCAACCTGCTCGAGATCCAGCACCTGAGCGGTGCCACCATCCAGATCTCCAAGAAAGGCATGTTCCGGCCGGGCACGCGCAACCGGATCGTGACGCTGCTGGGCTCGGCGCAGGCCATCAGCACCGCCCAGTACCTGGTCGAGCAGAAGATCAGCGAGGAGGAGGCCAAACGGGCGCGCCAAACGGCGCTGGTGGGCACGCCGCACTAGCGGCCGCCGCCGCCCGCCCCGCCCCGCCGCGCGGCGCCCGCCCGCCCGCTTTACACTCTCATCTGGCGGGCCGCCGCGCGCGCCGGCGGCGTCGCCTCATGCGCTGCGCAGCTGCCGGCTCGCCCTGCCGCGCCGGCGCGCCGGCCGGCCGGCCGGGCGGCCGCACGGGAGCATCCTGGGAGCGCCATCATGTTATCGCTCGCCACCCGCGCCCCGGCCGAGCCGGTCCCGACACACATACACACATAGACACACACAGAGGAGCGCGACGCGCCATAGCCGGAGCAGAGGGAGAGAGAGAGCGAGAGAGCGACCGGCGCCACGTCACGTGTTTGTGTTCCGTCTTCATTTAGGGTAGTTAAGCTAACGTTCAGAAGCGTTTAACTGTTGCTCGTTGCGTGCATTCTCACTACACATACATGCATACACATACCAGCATTACATACATACGCGTATATATGTAGGTGTTTAACTGGAATAGCGCTAACTATGGGCTATGAGGTGCTGTGGTGGGAGTGGTCTGCCCCTCACTGGTGCTGGGTCAGATCCGGGCAGGAACGCGCCGCCGCCGCGGCCCGGCCGGCCCGCCGCGCGCACCGCGCCGCCCGGCCGGCCGGCCCGCGGCCGCCGCTCGCCGTAGGCCGGCCCCCTAGTCATGGGTCGGCGGTCGCTCACGGGCTGCCCGTCCGCCGGCGCGTCGCGCGCCGCGCGCCGGCTCATCTTCAGTCGCTTTCTCACTCGGTCATTCATTCTGGGAGTGCGCGCGCGCGCAGTACCATGGCTCACTCATTACCAAACGTCTCAGGAACGGGTCGGCGCGCGCGCCGCCGCCGCCGCCGTCGCCACCGCTCTCTCATCTTCACCATCTGGAGTGCCGCCGCTGCCGTCGCGACGGACGCCTCTCCGCTGTAACCGCCCGACCTAGCCGCGCGCGCTGCCCGCTCCCTTCCCGCGCGCCGTGCATGCCCTGGCGAATGGTGGAGCGCCGCCGCCGCCGCCGCCGCCGCCCCCGCCGCGCCGAGAGCTATGCATAATGGTTTGAGTTGGTGTGTGGTAGGGAGGGAGGGAGGGACTGGGGGAGTGGGGAGGGAGGGTCTGTCTGTCCCAGTGCCTGAATCATGGTTGGCAGTAGAGACTGCAGATATCGTTACTATCGGGACTTGATTGTCGCCACATCCCTGCCGCCGGCGTGCCGCCCAAACTTATCTCTTCATTTTCAAGCCATGGGGTTTGTTGCAATACGTGTAGTCTAGCATCGCCGCGTGAAAATGAAGGGTCTCGTCCCGCGTTTTACCATAGAGATCGTGTATTACTGGAGCTTAGCCGGTCTTGCGAGGCCGCGGCAGTCTGGTGGATCAATTTGAGCTGCTTTGCTCACTGATGAACTCGTATTTTGTAACTTGTCAATGAACTATAGTCTAGAGATTTATTATTGATTGACCTCGGTCGTCCAAGTTCATTTCTTTTCGTTGAAAGAAGTGCATTTTTTAGTTTTTAAGCCTTATGACTTTTCGACTTTCAATTGTGTAAAGTTGACTATGAAGAGGCAGTTTCTTTAACGAGTTCTAGCAGTTTGAAAGCGGTGCTAAACGGATCCACCGAAGTTCTGCTCAAACCTCCTTTCACCATATCTGCGCGAATGCAGCTGCCGAGGGCTGGCTGCTCCAGGCATGCATGATCTCTATGCGTTTTACGACCAAAACCATTTTCAGGCGTGCCAGTCCCCCGTAAGTCATTTCCGCATCCATCTCGTTTCAAGTTGTTGCGTTGTTTTTTATGATTATTGTCGATTTCCTGGTCGGCGTACAGATGTTAACTGCGCATGCGCTTGCGCACGCGCAGCGGCGACCCCTGTGCTCGGAAGGCCGCGCGCGCGCGCCCGTATGCAAGTGGCCGGCCGCCGCTGCCCTGGGCGACATCACGTGACCGGCCGGCTGTGATGCGCCGGCCTCCTGGCTGTGGCCACGTGACTGGTGCGGCGCCGTCCTCGTGACTACAGCTACCTTCGGTGCGCGGCTCGGTAGGATGTCTATCATGTGTTGTATACCATTCATTATTTACATGGTGTAAGCGAAACTACAACGCACCGAATAAAGGGCTATCTTCCAGCTGTATCACTCCTGTGTTTGGGACTGAAGATTGAGTGGTGGAACCTGCGACGGGCTGAGATGGGTTGGGTCAACACCAGCGGAGACGACGACGAGACGGGAGATGGCTGAAGAGTCCAGCCAAAATAACTGCTGCTGTCACTGACCTGACATAAGATGACCAGACGTTAATCAGCGATAAGCAGCCTTAGCAAAGGTCCGCATGGAGTTCCACTTGTCTCCTGTGCGTATATGTGCGCTTGCATATGACCATAAACAGTGAAATCTATCAATCGAGATCGACGCATTACGGACGCCGGTGAAAACAGGGCGCCGGAGGGCATATTAGTCACGTGACATTTGGAACTGCTCCCGCTTCATGGGCCTTCTATATGCCAAACGTCACGTGTAAATTTCACGAACCTTGATCAAATCGCCCCAGGCGCCCTGTTTTCACCGTCGTCCCGCATTACGTGTGTAAATCTACAGCGATTGCCCCGCGCAGCTGCGGAAAGTCGCTTTTGTACGATACAGTACTTATGAGCCTGATCATAGATGGCGCTAGTGGTATACGCCTGAAGGTAGGCTGTGCCGCACGACCCGCAGCCGCCACGCCAGCCGTACCGAGCGCTGCCGCTGCTCACTGTGCGAGTTGGTACTCTTTGCAGGGAGAGGTGCACGTCATAGTCATATCTTTGAATAATCAGCAATAACATAGTCATCTTTTTAACCCTCGCCGGCCGAGGGGGGGGGGGGCGGGTGCCGCCCCCCCCATAGGGTTTTTTCATGATAGCTCCAAACACGCTGGCGATAGAGAGCTGAAACTTGGCATACTTGACCTTTGATCCAAGCCGGATCTTTTGACACCAACCGCATTTTTGGGTCAGGTCAGGTCACTGACCTATGACGTCATAAGTGAACCTCTGCACGGTCTTCAGATGTCGCAACTTCGCAACGCCCTCACTGCCAGAGGAGATGTCACAGGGAAATGAAACTTGCAGGATCTAGTATCCATTATGAGTCCCACAACTTGTATATCTCGGATTTTTCCTAAAGGTCATATGAGGTCAGGTCATTTTCGTGACCTCACCATTATAAGTCAATGGGGAAAAATTCAAACTGCTATTCTGGCGCCGGGAACGATCTCCAACTATCTCAAGCACACAGAATCGTGATTTGATGCACTCCTTGCAAGGTTAGATGCGTCACTTTTGCAATGTTGACCTTGTGTGACGTCATTTATGACGTCATCAAGGTCATATTAGTTTTTCGTCAATAACTCTTGATCAAATTGAGCTAGCGAGTCGAGAAAGCCACCAATGGACTCAGGAAGACCTGCCGAATCGAATGATATGCGACATGACCTCTTTCGACCAACTTCGTGACCTGGGGGTGCTGACCTGACCTTGACCTGAGGTCAACACCCCAAGTTGACCTGACCCGGACAAAAAGTATATCATTCGACGCGCCTGAGCGAGACGAACACGATGCTGCCAAAATCGGCGCTCTGTGGCCGTTTTTTGCGAAGTTATTCACCAAAAACTGAACCGTACCTTGGGGCACTTGACCTGACCTCAGAGGTCACCGGTTGACCTAGGACCTTAAAATCGGGTACCAATCTCTGCTTCTCGTAACGGCGCACACGCTCGTTTTTTCCGCGACGCGCTAGCTCCACCAGGGGCGAAACGGCGAGGGGGGGGTCGTACCCGCCCCCCCCCCTCGGCCGGCGCGTATGTAGAAAACCAATAGGTCCGGCGAGGGTTAACCCTAGAACGCCTAGGGGGGGGGGGGTTGTATCAACCCCCCCCTGAGGTTTTTTCGAAGTGCATGCTAAACGGCTTGTCGTAGCGGGCTGAAATTTTTAATAGGGGAGAGCGGGGAGAGTTGTATCATGTCCAAGTTGTATCAGGGCGAATTGTGCCAAACTTATCCAATGGATGGCGCTCGCGACACGACCAGCCGACGAGGTTTTCCGGGCGCCATCTTTCCCTGTTCTGTCTTGTGGCTGAGTGGACGCGTCTCGAGGTGAGAGCCGATTTTATGTTTTTTTAATGTCATTCTAAAAAAATAAGTTTCAAGAAAATGTGTGTTCTGGGCATTTAGATGTGCACGAATTTGAAAGATCTCCGTAGCGGTGGTGAGGGCAGGTTCTAAGGCTGCGTGAGTGAAAACGGATTTCTCCAGCTGTCCGCTGTTTTTTGAGCACGAGGATGTTTTTTCCAAGATGGCGGCTAGGTACATGTTGTATCAGAGCCGGGTGGGGTATGTTGTAACATGTATGTATGTATGTATGTATGTATGTATGTATGTATGGGTATGTTGCTTTTGATCGCGAAAGCTAAGCCCTGGCTCGCGTTTGTAGGTAGCTAGTCAATGCTCGTTCCATTTCGGCACAATGTGTTGGCTTCTTTGCTCTTAACGGGCCACTTTTGCGTCTAGTCTGTTGATGTTTCGTTCGGGTTGCATTGACCTAAGTTTGGTCTAATAAAGTGAAGCCTTTGAGCATACCTATACATTGTATTAACCCCATTTAATGTTGTTGTTATGTTCAAAGCCAGTAGCAAGCATAGGTACTCCCTGAAACGTGAAATAGTGATACAAATTACCCCACCATGTGATACAACTCACCCAAGTCATGGGGCAAGTTGTATCAAAAACATTGTTCTATTCGGGAGACCGTAGAAGAAAAACTGGTAGAGGTAGCGGAAAAGTTACTTTGCACAAAAAAGCAGAAGAATCAAGGAAGGGGAAAGTATGGAAATAATGAGTTTATCACGGATAGTTACGAGGTTATGGTTCTCGGAGTAAAAACTGATACAACCCACCCCACTCTCCCCTACCCTCTGGGGCAACCTTTGCGCATCTTTTGCCGAAAAAAAATTGATCGGGTCATGTCAGGTCACGGAGTTATGACGTCATAAGAGGTACAGCCTCCGTCCGACAGTTACCAAACGTGTGCGCCGAATCCCTAGGTTTTCTGCCGGTGATACCCACATTGTTTGATGGATCATGATGAAACTTCCCATGCATGTTGGGGCAAGCATTGGCTATCGTGTGGTGCAAGAAAATTGACCGGGTCAGGTCAGGTCACGGAGCTATGACGTCACAAGCAGTGGCGGATCCAAGATTTTCACTGGGGAGGGGCTGCAGGTCATAATTGGGCGCCACGCCCCGGATGGGCGCCATAGTCGCATCGTATTGGCGCTGAAATATTGGCGCCCAGTGGCCCTGACAAGAGGCGCCCAGGATCAGTATGTACAGTGACACCACACGATTGGAAATATCGGTGCGGAGCGTACTGAAACGACGTTATTCAACTGATTTTTGCATCCTAGTCCTAGTATGCGGCACTCCGATGAGTTGCGAATTGAAAATTGGCGCCACTGCGCCTTCGGCGCAGTGGCGCCAGTTTTCCTTGGGTGGGGGCTGCCAGCCCCCGCAGCCCCCCCCCCTGGATCCGCCACTGGTCACAAGAGGAACAGCGTCCGGTAGGGGAAGCCGGGGGAAGCCCGGCATAGTAAGCTCTTTTTCATTTTTATTACATACCATACGTGCTGTATGAAATATTGATATCCGGTTAGCTAGCTAAGTTCATTGGCCGTGTCTTCCCAAAAATTCGGTTTCGTGGACTAAATATAAGGTTGAGAAAATCGAGTTTTAAAAAAGTGTTGATTTTTCTGGGGTAAGCCCGGCATCGGGAAAATCGGGACCTGTTAGAACGTCGTGAAGTGTGGCTGCTATGGGGTTTTTCGGGGTGCTGATCACGAATATCATGTTAGTTTTGATCACAGATGATGTCTTCATGCATTTAGGCCAGGTCGGGTCAGGTCAGGTCAGGTCAACCAGTAAGGGTATTCGTAGTAGGTGGCAACCGCCTCTAACAGCTTCGTAACATGTTACGAAGGCACCAAAACTACTTCGTAAATGTTCATATGGTTGCTAAATTCGAACGCCGGCCACCTCCCCAGCGCTTTACAACGAGTTGATGAAACCATTATGTGTCTTCCAAATATGAACGGAAAGTGAAATATTAACACGCGCAGTGGAAGGGTTGCGAGTACTACGCCCAGTGGAAGGGGGGGCGGATGTCGCCCCCCCCCCTAAGATCTCAGCTCCCAGTGGAGCTAAAAGGACGAAATTTGGAGAGTAGGTGGGGGCCATGGGGAACTCTGTTGTGTGTGAATTTCATGACCCTAGGTCAATATCTTCAAGGTCAAATGAGGTCAAATGTGGTAAAATCTGCCATATTAACGACTTTTTTTTGCGTTTACACGCCAATAACTCAAAAAGTTACCGGCCGATTTCTTTAAATCTTTCACTATACGAAAGAACAAACATTTGTGAGTATGTATGGTGAATTTCTAGATAATCCAACAATAAATATGGCAGTTAGAAGCCTTCTAAGGGTAAGATGTCGCCGGCTGAAGCGGCATCGGCCGACGCGGGAAACGCGGCAATCACAATTTTGTGTTTACACACTCATAACTCAAGTTGTTACCGGCCGATTTTCAAAATTCTTTAACCATATGATTGCCTGTACATTTCTCAGTCTTCTCACCGAATTTGACGCGAATCTAATATAATCAGCGGTAAGGAGCGCGATGTAAAGACGGAACCATCCCGCCCCGGCACAGTCTACAATTCAGGCGGCGCGTAACGGCTAGCGCCGGCCGCCGCGCCGTCGCGCCGCCGCGGCGGCAGGATGTTTGACTTTACACCGCTATTACTAGAAAAGTTGTGAACCGATTTTCTTACTTCTTGCACGAGAAGATCCGCAATTCAATTCTGGACAGGTAGCCGAAATTTCACATTGATATTATGCTTGCGGCGCGAGTTATTGGCGAAAAACAGGAGGGGTGGGCGAAATCCGCCCCCCCTTCCACTGCGCGTGTTAGCCCCCCTCGCCCGTATTGGTGTTTTTCCAGCCGCGAACGTATAAGGGGGGGTCCGTTGGACCCCCCCCCCCTTGCCGTTTCGCTCCTGATCGAGCTAGAGCTTCGCGGAAAAAACGAGCGTGTTGCTCGTGACGA